TTAATTTCAGTTGACCTGTTGTGGAGGGTCACTACATTTAGCTAAAAAACAGATACTTAAAGGTATTCATATGCTACTTTAATAAAGGTTACTTGCAAATTTTCATTCAAAACTAAGCAAATTGACATACAGCTTGTGGTCTTATGGCTTCAGGGACAGGTTGAGACGTGGCAAAAATGCTGATCTGGCCCAAAACTAGGCGTTTAACTAAGCAGACAAATAAGCTACATTCACATAGTCAGGCTGGAGTGGCACAAATCTGATTTTTTTGCCTTGACACAGACCTGAGCCACTTTGGCTATGTTCACATTACGTGCATCATTGCTCAGAACCAGTTTGTCGCTCAGATCGGAACTTGATGGTTCACATTCATGTAGGTAAATGATTTAAATCTGTCATTAATGTGAACGAACCTATAGACGCATCAAAGACTGCATTAAACAATAGCATCCCTACTATCTTCACATCCTAATAGGACATGAGCATTTGGTCCATATCCCATTACTTGAAGATCTTCTATCAGACAGTCGGTGTTCACACCTCTGATATACACTACATGTCCAAACATTGGTAGATACCTACTGATTCTAATTTATACTGAAATTAAAAGTATTAATAGGGGAGTCCTCAGCCCGATGCTGGGGCTTTTATACCCCTTTAGCTGATACTTGGCATTGGGTCTGGTGACCTTAGGTTCATGTGTGGCTTCCCCAGAGCATCCCATTCTACTGTCATTGCTTTTCTATAGAGACTATACAAGCTGTGTGTGTACAACTGAACGCCTGTGTCAGAAATGGGTGTCTGTATGTGTTTTTATAGTATAGTGTTTATAAATAGTAAATGCACAGCATAGTGGAACTTTTGGAACTATTTTTATGGTCCCTTTAAGTTTACTGAGTGAGTCTTCTCTTGATGTTACTAGATGTGTAGCTGAGATTAAATTAGACTGACTTTTGCAAATGTGTAAAATGTGTTCATCATGTACCTTTCTTTTAAACAATGTTTGTATTAGCTTAATCTTCATGAACAACTATTTTCTGCTGGTACTTCTGTGAATCTGTTTGTGTTTATTATTTGCTGACCCATGCACAGGATCTTAATCAAGAGCTCTTCTTGAGCAAAGTAACCACTGTTGAAGTTCTGCTGAAGTTTGTGGTAACAGTTTCAGTAACAAAGGCAAATGAAATAGGAAGAATGCTAATACAGCAGTAATGAATTGACCAGCACTTACAGATGTTGCAAGCAGTGAAATGTTATTCTACCCTTCAGACTGTCTCAAGAGGGATTCACATTATCCAGGAAAGCTTCCATGCGCTTTGTATTTCAGCATATTCTTAGTTGACCTCCTCTGCTTTCATCATTGCACGACTTCTCAACTGTCTTTCAGCTGATGTAGTGCGTTTTATGGCTTTGCAGAGGAGCCAAACTGCTTGCATCTGCTGATTCTACGGCATACCAGTACTAGGTCTGGTGGTGTTGATAAAATTCATTATCACAGTATTTTCCAAATATAACAAGGTGTCATGATATCAGAGTTTTTAGCTTGCAATAAAAAAGAACTCCTTTCTGAATGCTGGTAATTTATGCATAAAATAAAACCTATTAAAAATCTCTTGAAGAGGAATTCAACTTTTATTATCTTGTGTGTTTGTGTTTTTTGGCATAGTTAAAATGTTAAAATGTAATCAGAGTAATTCAGAGTGGTTTGAAATGAAACCTACCAGTCTAGAGAAACCAAAAAGTCTGAACTGTTGTCAGAGGTGCTGAGGGGAACCAGATGCTTGAGATGTATAATGCCTCTACAAGGTACCTCACAGGAAGCTTGTACACAAAATGATTACAAATACACTACTTGATGCCTGGGACGTTGTTTTATGATTGTTTTCAAACAAAATTTTGGCCTAAAACAGATTTTATAAAAAATATGCAATACCAACATCTCAGGATTTGCTACTGTTTTGTTATTATCACATCACATTTGCTATAAACACTCAATAGAAAACATGTGTAGGTCCACTAGTTGTTTTGAATATTAAATAAACTGGTTCATATCACCACAATTGTAATGCATCATCTCACATCAAACCACTCTGAATGCGCATTTTTTTATATCTGTTATGAAAATATGCAAACATTTTGAAAAATGTATGGTTTCCCCCCTTTATTATTACAATTGTACCAAAGGAGCCACAAAGAAAAATGTATGACTTATTTAGTTTTTATGTATTAAAATGTCCTTTCACAACATCTGAAGCACCTAGCAAGTTTTTGTTAATTTTTCTTATGTACTGCTAAAACTAAAAATGAATATTTCTGTGCTGTGTGATTTATATACAGGTACAGATGCTGTTAGGCCTGGACAATATGACAGTGTTTATCGTGATAAACTATATCACAGTATGCTTTTTCTAAGCTAAATCTGCTTTTCATGGTTTTTGATAACCTTTTTTTTAGTGTGATGCAACATGACTTTGTCAGTTCCAAAAAATAAATGTTATCACATACTGTCTGTTGTGAAAACTTCGAAGTATCATGATATTATATTTTTGACATATAGCCCACCTCTAGCACTAATCGGTGCTCAAAACTGTGTAGATGTTTTGAAACTGAGTACTGGTACTGTGCTGAAAAAAGAAATACAACATTAATGACCCCATCTTTCCATCATGCCCCCTCCACAATCAAACCACAGTCTTACCTGTTTTGGTGCAGTGACATTGTGATGAACCAGTTCTTATGAAGTTTATATGAAGTCCATTTGAGTACTTGTCTTTTATTTGGCAAGGTGCCCACGGTTTGTTATCCATCTCTCACCTCTGGTCTCTCTGGCATACACACACACATACAGGCCTCTCCCTGTTTGTGAATAAGCACACAAGGCAGAGTGAAAAGAATGGCTGAGTCTGTCACAAACTGCTGGCCTGATTGTCATGTGCAGCAGGTGTGTGTGTGTGTTTTAATGTTTGGCCAGAGCGTACGAGCATTTACATTTGTGTTTGGCTCATTGGGTGCCTTTTAGAGCCAGACTGTGTGTAGTTTGTGTGGTATGGGTGTGAGAGACCTGAATGACAAAGAGAGAGGTGTGTATGTGAGAGACACACACACAGAGTGACCTGACTGCTGAAAAAGAGGTGTGTGTGTGTTTGTGCATGATTGGGGCTGAATGTACTGGGTCTCTCTCATAGTGTCATTATCAGCAGTATTGCCCCTCTGTCTGTTCCACATACAGACCTTACACCATCAGCCAGCAAGCAAAGCAGCCACAGAGTGAACTGAACACAGAGAGAGTACATTCACAATGATTGGCACTACCTAATACTGCTACTCCAGGTGCTTGTTGGGATCTATGAGGTAGTGCTGTTAGTTATTAGCAGCTAGCTGTTAGCTGGGGCCCAGGAGAGTGACCCAGGTCAGGGGATGAAGGAGGTTTTGGCCCACGGATGGCAGCTGGAGGGTGGAGGGTATCAGACTTTGCAGGGAAGGGATATCTCCATCCCTCTCTGTGGGTAAGAGTCCATGCTTCCTCCTCTGTGGTTTTACTGACATGTTTGGTAAGAGCTTCTAAAATGCCCCGTCATTGTGAAACGTGCTGTGAGTTTAAAACTAGCAGCAAGTTGGTGCTAATGCAATGAATGATTATGCTGAGTGTGCGCATTGTTGTTTGTATAATGTTCAGACATCGTTTAAAACAAGCTGTGTCAAATTACTTCTACGTGTTTCATTTAAAGCTTTATCAAACATGTATAAATGCAAGTCGGGATGCAAAGTGACACCAGAACCATATTAGTATTAGCAGACATTTGCTAAAAGGAATAACAGCATTGGACAGATGTTTAGATTTGGCCTATATTTGAAACACTTATTTATCATACTCTGGGAGATTAGGGGCTGCTATGCTAATTATATTCATTTTATTACATTTGTAACCCCATATAAATGTTAAATAAATGATATGTTTTTCTGTAATAATAATCCAGATGTTTCTAGTCCTAATTTCTACATTTTGTAAATGTTCATGTTAGCATTGGTGGATATGTATATGGGAAATGATCATATATTGGCATAGCCCACAATCCCCATGTCAGTGCTTTCCTAAGTGCATCTTATAAGGAGCTATGGCTTGAGGTGTCATCCAGGCCTTCCTGCAGTTTGCTAGACAGAAACTGGGATAAGGACTGACAATTAAGACTGTTAAAACAATTTCGGTGTCCTGGGTAAGGCTCCTTGGTCCAAACTTGTTTTCTTTGTGAGATTATGTCTGTGACGTTCCTCAGAGCTGACCTATGATGAAGCACTTTTCACTGGGATGAGTCACTGTTCCAGCATGTTCTGCTGTCATTAGTCCTGTTAAGTCTTGTCACACCTGGCTGGCAGTGAGACACAAAACAAAAGAAGTCTCATTTTGAGGCAGAGATGTTTTGGAGTTGAGTGTCAAAGGCTAGGCCTGCTGCTGTTACCAGCCTCAGTGTTTACTGATGAGCTGGCATATTACTTGAACAGAGCTTTTTCTTTTTGCAGTCTAGCTCAAGGCCTTGTTTCTTTATAAAGCTGCAGAAATATAAAAGCTGACTGATTTAAAAAAATAAACATTTTTAGCTAAGATGTTGTTTCTATCCAGTGTCTTTGTGTGTAGACCACATGGCTCCAGGTAATTGCTCTTCGAGTCAACCATGTTCCAGATGCTCTTTGTACGTCTATGGAGCACTGCCAAAGCCTGCCAAAGGCTCATCCCCAAGGAGTCACGCAATTGTTGTTTTTTTGTTTTGTTGTTAGGAATTGACTGGAATGCTCTGAACACAACAGGCTAGTTTAGATGCTAAATGTAAAAGAATTTACTTTGACTATGGGTGTCACCTGAATGAATTCATTTTCACCTGTTTATGCTCTCTCATGCTTTACTTCATGTGGTTATTAAGATGTATTGCGACCATTGAAGTAGAACCAGACTTTGATCTCTTTGTGGAATGTGAAAGTGGACCTCACGATTATTTGTTGCCTTTGAATCCAAAGGTTGATACTGCATTTACGTTAAGCGCCTAAAGCATCACAGGTGGCTTTGACGCTTCAGAAGATTGAGCCAGCAAAAGGAATGTATGATACTTTGTCTTCGGTATTATTTGCGGTAGTTGTCATTTACTTTTCTTTGTGCTTTGTGTTGTAAGATAAAATGATTAAGGAACGGCAGTGTGTTGTAGTTCCTTTTCTGTTTGATATCTTTTCTTTGTGCTCTCGTGAATATTCTGATCATTGAATTTAAATTTCTCTTTCTTTCTCAGTCCCAGACCATGAACTACGTGGGGCAGTTAGCGGAGACAGTCTTTGTAACAGTAAAGGAGCTTTATCGTGGCTTGAACCCTGCCACGCTCACTGGTGGCATTGATGTCATTGTCGTGCGGCAGCCAGATGGCAGCCTCCAGTGCTCACCTTTCCATGTGCGCTTTGGAAAATTGGGAGTCCTGCGCTCCAAGGAGAAAGTGGTAAGGGACACGGATAGTGGAAGACTGATATTTTATGTGACGGAGAGTCCGTCAGTTTATGTGCTTAGGGACATATGGATGCAGATATGTACATGAAAATATATTGTATATTTGCTTTGGCCCACAATATCAGCGTATCCCTGTTCTCTGGCCTGGATACACTCAAAAAACCTTAACAATAACATTGATATGGCAATAAATGTTGATTGATTGGCTGACTGCATATCAAATGTAGGGGTGTCCCAATGTCACAGTGGCAGTGATGACCTATATTAGCTGTGTTCCATTGAAGGTCCATGCCCATCGAAAACTGAAACTTTTGTTCAGTTTGATGTAAACACTGTTAAAGTGAAACTAAGCTGCAAAAACAGCCTGTAATCTGCTTAGCCAGTCTACAGCAGGTTGGCTTTGCCCATTGTTGTTATTATAAGTTATAAGAAATATTTCAGCTTGGACTGCTTTTTCTGGCTACATAAAGACACACAGATCTCACAAGTGGACCTCAGGAGAAAAAGTAAAATACAAGAAGAATGTAGTATATGGGCCCTTTAATTATGCAATTTAAAACAACTGCACTGTTTTAACACTAAAGCTTCCAACTTTATTCCCATTAGTAGTACAGGTTGTACAGAGACATGGAACAGTCATCAATTTCCTTTATTCAAATTTTGTTCACAATATCATGACAATAGTTAATTGTGAACCCTTATTGTGAATCCAATTGTGAGTGTGCATTATTACACCCCTTGTCAAATGCCAGTGTAAAGAGCAGCATTTTTTTAAACAGATGAGAGGAAGATTATTTTACAGTCTTGTACTTTGAAAATATCTGGTGTGGGTAATCCTATGATGAGCTAATACCAGTGTATTTCCAGGTGGATATTGAAATCAATGGTGAGCCGATTGACATGCACATGAAACTGGGGGACAATGGAGAGGCATTCTTCGTGGAAGAGAATGAAAACCTGGAGGTATTGTCTATACTGTCAGTGTTTTTAATCTTATAGACCTTAGTTACCATGGTCTGTAATAAATCTGTAATACCTGCGTTTATCAGGCTGCAGTGCCGGCACACCTCTGCACCTCACCCATCCCCACTGAAGTTCCAGAAATTTCCGAGGTGGCCGAGTCTCCCTCCAGCACCACCTCGTCTTCCTCCAACCGGCGGAAAAAACGACGGAGAAAACGAGCTCGTTCTGACGCACACCTGCATGAGGATGGCAGCTCATCCTCAGAGGAGAAAGAGACTCCAGAGCAGGACATCCTCAATGAGGAGTCTTTGTCGCTCTTGTTGGCAAGGTTAGAGCAATCATTATACTGAAGCTGTTGTCAGAATGTTGGCTGAGGCTTAAAAGATCTAAAATAACTATTGGTGTGTAGTTTCTAAAATGTAACTCTAAATTTTTTATATTTAATCTAATCTTAACTATAATAGGGTGCCAGTTATAGTGTTGTAGTTATAGTTTAGTCATGCTGTGTTTTTAAACATAGATTAGTTCTGGGCCTTGTTTCAGTTCTTTTTCTTTAACTTGCCCTCACCCACTTCGACTCACCACTCAGATATGCGTCGCACTTATGTTACACAAGTGGCCACTAACGACAGAAGGGGAGGAGGAGACAGAGAGGAGCTAATTATTTAAATGCAGTGCACTCACGCAGAGCTAAACTTTGCAATGCAAAACGTTTCTTTAAGAAGTTTGATCATAACATACATAATGTGTGTGAGTAATGGCTTTGTCTGCCTATAAACTTGGAGTACAACCATGATGAAATGCCTTTCTTCCAGCAGAGGAAAGTTATGAAGGTGTATCAGCAGTCATGTATAACAGATGGAGTAGTTTAAAACTTAAAGACCAGCAAATCGAATGTCATGGTTTTGAAATATTAAGCATTTTTAAACAGTTTTTAGCTTATAACAGCTTTGTCGGTCATATTTTTTTTGTTTGAATAAGGAAATGCATCTGGTCGACACTGGTGTTCGCTCCATCCCTCACCCCTACAAGGGCTCATCTAACACTCTTCACTTGAGCTAATAAAGTAATGGAATAGCTTTAAAAAGGTGCTGGGGATTCCCCTGAGGGGAAGTGACAAGAACAAGGGCTTGTTAAAATCGGTATTAAAATTGGGGGAGGAACTGAATCAGACATCACCAATATTTTGTGTCGGTTCTGCGTGTAGAAAATCATTTTAGCAAGATAGTCTTTCCATTTTTGTTCTCTGGATATTTGTCCAGTCTCTGTATATTCTGGTTTAATTAGACACGTGTGTGTGTGTGTGTGTGTGTGTGCGTGTGTGCGTGTGTGCGTGTGTGCGTGTGTGTGTGTGTGTGTGTGTGTGTTTCTGCAGTAAGTCTGTGTACTACTCTCTTTCTGAGGAGCCGAGTGAGGAGCTGACTGGAGGTCAGACCAGAGTGTCACACCCACACTCTGATGGAGAGTGCTCTCCAAATGAGAGGTAACAACTAGAGCTGAAATGATTTGTCAGAATCTTATGAGACTCAACTAATAACTTCAGGCTCAGTCAGGTTCAGACATAATTTCTCAAACATAGAGTCACTGATGTTGACAGTGAGGACCACTGAAGTCCATGAGGCCAGCATTAAAATAACACATTATGTAACCTTTATCCAGACTAACAACCTTGGATGTTCAAAGGCATTGATCAATAAATACAGTTAACTGGAATATACCTCAGCTTACTACTGATGCTTAAGCTCAGTGTTCTTTATTTTGTGTATTAGGATCTCCTGACAGCTGCCACTGTCACTGCTCTGTTAACAGATACTATCAATAGGGAGGTGGAGTTTTTGTTTAGTCTTTGGTTGGTGGAGGTGTAGTTTGGACTATATGTCATGGGCTTCATTTAGATTCGGGATTCAAAATTTGGTCCTCCAGGTCAGATCAAGTCAGGCTCTGGTTAAATGTACTTCAGAATTCTAAGCCTATTTAATGATCTTGTAACAACATCCATAATCACAAAGCCTGTACTTTGATAGAAACACCTGAATGTTATGAGTTATAATGAGTTATTTCATTTTTCAATTTCCAGTCAGGAGAAAATCAGAAAACAAAGAAAATGACACAGATGTCTTAACAACTAAATGTAATATCAAAGTTTTCAGTATTTAGTGTGTCGACCCTTTGCATGTATCATAGCATCCATTGTTTTCAGGAGTCTTGCCTTCAGCTTTTCAAAGAAATCTGCAGGGATACTTTTCCACACCTCCAAAGTTCAGTCTTAGAAGTTGGTTGCATTTTTTACTTTTCATGCTCTGGGTGATCCCAATTATGAACTTAGATCTCACATGTCCAGTGCACAAAAGCAGAGACTAGACAAATGAAATACTGAGGGATTTGCTATTATGCTAGTGTTTTTTTTTGGTAATTGTCTGCTAAATATGTTTAAATATATATATATTTTCACAATAAAAAATGAATGGCCGTTTTGACCGGGGGGAAAAAAAAATAAACAAGGGTGGTTTCTGACATGAGACATCTCTGACATCTCTGGTCTCTGTATTAAACAATAGGTTTTGTTTTAAGCTATTTTCATTCAAAGAAAAAAACACTGTTAAAGTGAAATCAATCTAAGCATCTCAGTACTTAACACCTCACACTGTCTCTGCACTGATCCGTTTTTCCCTCGCTCCCCTTGTTCTTAGTGTGTTCTTCAGTCGGCCGTCGTCTCCTAAGAGTGACTCAGAGTTGTTGGTGAAGCCGCAGGAGACGTCAGGGCCTCAGATGCAGTGGAACTGGGGTGGTTTTCCAAAGGTACCGCTGCTTCTCTGCAAGTACTGTCAGTATTGCACATATCACACATACTGTGCTTGCAAATCAAAACTCACTGATGTTCTGTGTTTCACTGATGCAGGTGTGTCAGGCAGAACAGCCCCGCACTCCCTCCTCCCCGTCCATCCCTTCTGACCACTCCTACTTCCGCACCATTCAGCGCCAGGCCTCATTCGATACAGAGCCCTGCTTGGAAACGGAAACGGTAACCGTGGTGAGGCCGGAACCTTGGACTTTTGTAACAGAGCCCTGTCCATCAGATAACCTACCTAGAGTTTCACACTCCACCCCAAATAATACCTCAGGACCTTCCTCACCCACACACCAGACTTCCCCACTCATGCTGCCTCTGGTGGAGACACTACAGCCTGTGGACAGTTCTGACCAGCCGCTGGTGTCAGAGCTGGACAGACAGGACACCAATAATGCCATGACTAATTGCACAGCTAATCCAGTTAGCACATGTAACACAGACTCTGATGATAGAATGGCTAATTCAGTTAACTCTGCCAATACCACTAGCTATGCTAATACTTCTAGCTTAAGCCACATAACTCACACCATTAGCACAAACACGAGTACTAACGCTGTCGTTTCAGATTGCCCTGGCAGCCAACTAAACCGCGTTGTCAAAATTAGCCTAGCTGCTACTGCTGGCTCAGTGGCTGGAGTTAGTGTGGGTGCATCAGAAACATTAGCAACATCGGTCAGCACAATCACTGCCTTTTCTGAGACTGCTCACCAGAGCACAACAGAAAGGGCAGTATACATGGAGAGAGACAGTGGCATTGAACCTTTCGCAGAAGGACTTGCTGAAGAAGACGGAGAAGTGAGCACGGAAAGCCCTCCAACCATGCGGGATGCAGAGAGTGCTGAAGTGGCACGTCCTTTGGAATCAGTCATCCAGTTAGAGGAGCATCCAGGCTTTTCCCAGCCTCCATCTAAAGCAGTGGAATTGCAGGATAAGAAAAAGGGTACACTCACTTACATGGAGAAATTCATCATTGCAGTAATGCATTTTACTGATGTTGAAGGGAATTTCAACTGATGTTTCATCATTTCTGCATAATTCAGTGGTTGAGGTGTAGTCATTCAGAGTGGTTTGATGAGAAATAGTTCATTGTAGAGACACTTACAGATTCAGATTTCTTTACAGTGGTGATAATAGGAACCAGGAGTTGTGATGTCTACAACACATACAGCCATTTAATTTACTCCTGAAAATGGCTGGTGAACTTACACGTGCCTTCTTAGTTTTTCTATGTAATGTTGATAATGGCAAAATAGAGTTAAATCTGAAAAAATACATTTTCTTTGGGAACTATTTTGCCTTACTGTGCCCTATATGTACCTCTCCGTCATGAATGCATTCAGTCTTAGGCCAAAGTATTATCTCAAAGCTATTGTAAAACAAGACAACAGTCAGTGTATTTATGACCATTTCATGTAATAGCTTTCTGTGAGGGAGGTTTTAGAGGCATTAAACATTTCACGCATCTGGTTTCTATCACCAACACTGAACAATTCTGACTGAATAAGTTTCTCTAGAATGGGGAATTTCACACCAAACCATTCTGAATTATTTTGTTTACAGTTTAGCCATTAAATTAAGCAAAAAAAAGACAAATCTGTGGATCCCCTTTAAAGGTATCGCATCACTTGTCCTAATTGTAGACAAACAGGCTTTGTTTTCACTCCTCTTTCTTAACTTACTTTTGTGCATAGGCAAGCGCAGTCAGCATTTGGGACCAGCAGATATTTACTTAGATGACTTGTCCAATCTCGACCCTGAGATGGTTGCACTTTATTTTCCCAAAAGGTGAGATCTTGACTTGTTTGTTATACTCTATTGTTCAAACATTTGAAATTACCTTTCAAACGTTTGGAATCACTCTTCTTAAGGTAAAACCACTGTGTAGAATTGTAACATGCTAGTCCTGTGCACTTGCACAGGTTTCTATGAGTTTTTAGGAAGTGAGGAAGCTGTTAAAAACAAAACAGTGTTTCAGGAATGTAGACCCGAGTTGTACATTGTAAAATGTTTATAAAAGCTGTCTGAAAAAACTGTATAGAATTGAGTTGTCATATTATTAATATCCAAAATGCCTCATTTTTCACAAATGGTGATCAAATCTCAAGGTGAATAACAAAGTTAATTGTCAATAGATAATTACAGTAAAAATCTATTTACTTCTGCATGCTCCCAAAGTACTTTACATATTGAAAATAACTAGAATCACCTTTTTTGATGTCTGATTTGTAAGATTTAGCTACATGCTGTATAAGGTCCAATCTCCGGAACCCGTTTTGTATTTTCATGAGGCCATACAGTGCTGTTCATTAGTGGTGGGTTATATTTGGGAGTATTTTTCTCTTTACTCAGAGAGCAACCCAGTCAGTTATGGAAAGATTAGACTAGTTTCACTGTATGTACTAGCAGTTATTAGAATAGTCATAATAGCAACGCCAGCACTTTTCCTAACTCCACGCCTTGCACTGTCTGTCTTTCTGTCCAGTGACAGTGAATCAGCCTCACGTTCTGGCGCTGAGCTCAGTTCTATCCATCCACCCAGAGTCTCCCCACAGTCTGGCCAGCAGTCTCCTCAGTCACTGGGCAGTGGCAATGTGGACAGTGGGACAGAGTACCTTTCAGATTCCACCACTGACTCACTGGACGTCACCATGTCTCTGTGCGGGACAGAGGGCCACTCCAGGCAGATCAACAAAGGTAGAAAAAGAGAGAGCAAGTGTGGGTAAAAGAGTCAGGTAGGAGAGAACAAGGAGAAAAAAGGGGGAAAAACGTCCTAGAATAGATTTCAGTAGTAACTGTTGAAGCCTTATGAAGCCTTAGAATAAAAGTTGTGGGTTTCAATTTGCTCTTCTTTCTTGCAGAGAAGTTTATGGCGCATATTGTCAAGTATCAAGACCTCGTCAGCAATCCTGGAATTATTGATGATCCAAACCTCGTCATTTGCATCAACTCAAAGTAAGTAAAATTCCAGTCTTACATCGTAAGTGTCTAGTTGTTTTAAGACTATTGCACTATTGTTATATCTGTTCACCCAGTGAAAGGACCTGCTCGTTCTCTAATTGATTTTTGTTACTTATTTTTAAGCTATTACAACTGGGCTGTTGCCGCGCCAATGATTCTGTCTATGCAAGCTTTCCAGAAGAATTTGCCAAAGGTACACCTCCCTATTGTTTGTATAAGCTTGTAGAAATTGCCTAGGGCAATCAGCTCCTGGATCAGTATGTGAATGAAAAATATATTTATTTGTTTGTAGAGCACAATTGAACAGCTGATTAAGGATAAGATGCCTAAGAAGTCTGGCCGCTGGTGGTTTTCATGGAGAAGGAGAGACATGAACAGTAATCAGGTACAGCTGTTACCAAAAAGAGAGTCAAAGTTAAAGCTTTGCTAACGGCAGAGTCGTACATAGTACTGGGGACTGGTATGCTGGCCCTCAGTATTGCTGTGTTTTTTTTGTTATTCTTTTGCTTAATATTAGAGAAGTCCGTGAATTACTTAGCTTGAATTGCTTGATTTCTATCTTATCTCGTTTCCTCTCTGTCTTTCTCAACTTCACTCCCCATACTTGGTAGTGGTTGTGCTGAGCAGTTGCAGCTAGGCTAACTTTGACAAAGTGGTTTAGTTGGCTGCCAGGGCAGTCTGAAACTACAGTGTTAGTACTCATGTTTGTGCTTATGGTGTGAGTAATGTGGCTTATGCTAGCAGCATTAACATAGCTAGTGGTAATGGCAGAGTTACCTGGATTAGCAATTCTATCATCAGAGTCTGTATTTCCCTTTTTTTTAACACTCTCTTTCTCAGCCAAGTTCAAAGCCTGACTCAAACGGAAACCAACCAGAGACATCTTCTGCACGTCCAGTTCCACCCTTACTCAAGTAAGCTCCATTTGTAAGCTTATTCAGGGCTCATTTGATTGTAGTGTCCTTCTGCAAGAGGTCTAGTTTTATGCTTTAACCCACTGACTTTTCCTCCACTTGTACCATTGCTCAGAGAACAAGAATCTTTGTTTGCTGTTTCACTTTAAACACATCAGACCCAACATTATTTTTTTACATATTGTCTTAAAAATTTTCCTGTGAAAATGAAATTTTAACAGTTCTACATTGTTTTGTGTGTGTGTGTGTGTGTGTGTGTGTGTGTGTGTAGGGACCACTCTAGTCAGCTGTCCAGTGATGATGATGGTACTGACTCTATAAGGCCGAAGACTATAGCTGAATCCATGACTACTGCACAGTGCCTGAGTCAGATGTACCGCAAATCACTCCGTCTCACCTCTCAACAGATAGTAAGAGATGTTACATGGCCATCTTGATCTATCATCTCGACACAAAATCAGTTGATATTAACTTGATATTAACAATATTAACAGTATGGGTGAAAGTCCTACTGATAAAGCAGACAAGGGAAAAGGCTGAAAACCAGTATTGGCTAGCCAAGATCTTTGGGCCCTCGGACAGCACTGCATTAAAAACAGACATGATTCTGCAGTGGAAATCATTGGAGGGGCTCAGGAACACTTCTGAAAACCACTGTCTGTGAATACAGTTCATCACTGCATCCATAAATGCAACTTAAAACTCTACAATGCAAAGAAGAAACCATATATAAACAGGCATTAGAAACGCTACCATCTGGGCCTGAGCTGATTTGAGATGGAAAGAGGCGAAGTAGAAAACTGTTCTGTGGTCCGACAAATCAACATTTTAAATTCTTTCTGGAAATCATGGACACTGCATCTTCCAGGTTAAAGACTACCAGGCTCGTTAGCAGCATACAGTTCAGAAGCCAGCATCTGTGATGGTATGGGAGTGCATTAGTGCACATGGCATGGGTGACTGGTACATCTGTGAAGGCACCATTAATGCTGAATGATATATACGTTTGGCAACGTGTTGCCTTTCAGACAACATCTTTTTCAGGGAAGGCCCTGCTTATTTCAGCAAGACAATGTAAAACCACATTCTGCATGTTACAACAGCATGGTCTATAGAAAAAAAGTTAGGGTGCTAAACTGACCTGCCTGCAGATTTGGCATTTTATGAAATACGACAAGAGATCCTGAACTGTTAAGCAGCAGAAATCCTACATCAAGTAAGAATGGGAAAGCATTTAACTTTCAAAACTACAGCAACTGGTCTCCTCAGTTCACAAACGCTTACAGAGTGTTGTTAAAAGAAGAAGTGATTCAACACAGTGGTAAACAGGCCCCCTTCCCAACTTTTTTGGAATGTGTTGTTGGCATCAAATTCAAAATGGGCATATGTTTTTCAAAAAACAATCATTTTTCAGTTTTATTTGGTATGTTGTTTTCATTTTGTTTTCATTTACACTTTGCACAGCGTCTCAACTTTTTTGGAAATGGGGTTGTAATTTATTTTTTAGAAAAATGTAGCAGCTGTACAGCATGTAAATGTGTATGTGTGTGTATGTTTTAGGAGCGCCTGAATTTGCGTGAGGGAGCCAACAAAATTGTGTTTAGTGTGACCACTCAGTACCAGGGCACCTGTCGCTGTGAAGCAGCTATCTACCTGTGGAACTGGGATGATAAAGTCATAATCTCAGATATTGATGGAACCATCACAAAGTGAGTATATGTGTACATTTGTGTATGGGTGATTACACGTGACAAAAATATGTCTGTGTATGTGTAACACTTTTCAATCTGTTCAATGCCAGGTCAGATGCTTTGGGTCATATTCTTCCACAGTTTGGAAAGGACTGGACACACCAGGGCATTGCCAAGCTCTACCACAAAATACATCAGTAAGAGAAAAGAGCGCTGATAAATATCTGCTCACCGTCTTTTACTGTCAACTGCCACAGAATCAGTCTCCCTGCAGAAGAGATCTGTTCACGCTGCACATACTTCACACTCAGCACTTATCAACATACACAAAGTTTACAGTTTATTAGGTACACATAACTTGTACCCACACTCATTGGCCAATTAACCACCAAACCAATGTGGGTTTACTTTCAAACTCTTGCTGCATGGTTTATCAGCTACTCCCCACCTTATTAATCAATGGAAAGGGACCACCACTGGACCAGCACTGGCCAGATATGGTTTGGATGGTGGGTCATTTGCTGCACAACATGGCCGTGGTATGTATGTGTGTGTTGTGCTGGTACAAGTGGATCAGACACAGCCGTGTTGCTGGAGTTTCTAAACACTGTGTATGCTTACTGATCTCATTGATGCACTTTGCTGGAGTACAGTACATCAAAATTCAAGTCTCATGGTTGGCCTGTGAGACTTTTTTTTGTCTTTGCTGTGGTCTTACTAGCTTAGCTATGTCTTTATAGTGCACCACTCAGCATTATTGGCCAATACAGGCCCATCAAATTAAAGTCACTTGCTAAGATTTATAAATGGAAATACCATCATGAATGATAAGCAAAATCAACTAGCAGCTAAATACTTACATGCAAACATATCACCTTTTGGAAGAGTTCGCCATTTTGAGCGATATGCTATTCACATGAATCGTGTGATTTGATGATATGTTTATTTTGCAAAGGGGAGCAGTCGAGTCCCAGAGAATACTGAGACAGAATCCCTCCATTCCCCCAAACAGCACATTAGTAGATGTCATTGTTCGGCAAACCCAGAGAGAATGTATTTGATTTTTGTTAATTGTCCAGTCATAACTAAGATAGCATTACCAAAAAGTGAACAGAGAGGTTCATGAGCGGTAAAGTTGGTTTCATTTTCACATATTCACATTTCTTTCTTAAAAAAATCTTATGAGCAAAATGTTAATATGTCAAAAAAAAAAAATCCAAAAAGTTAGTCAGTTGTTCGCAACCAAGGCAGTCATCTATCACTTTTTTCTTAAGTTGTTTTCTTTAATTTCTGAGAACTGTCATAACCACTATGAGAGTTTACAAACTGCATTGCAAACAACAATCATTGGGGCCAAAGCACCACACCCCATTTTTGAACTAGTTGAATGATGGGTAAAGTGGTTTATTTCTTTAATACATGTGGGGTCTAAAAATAACGTCAGCCAAATTTCATACACATTAACCTTTTAGTGTGGTAAGAAACAGATTTTGTAACAAATGTAAAAATACCTAAAATATACCTAATTTTTGGACATGACTTACATTTACATAGTTATATTTACATATTCCCTGCTACAGGGAAATGATTTCAAAACTTGTCAGCTTTTTCACTGCTCTTGAGTTTTCATGTCTTTTAAGTGGCTCGTGTATACAAACAATTCTCCCAAGTTCAGTGATTAATTTGATTTAATTGAGAAGCCTAAACTAGGGGAACAATGTGTTTTGTGGAGTTTGTAGGTATGCTGTGAAGATCACAGCATCAGGGCTATTTGACGTTGAAATGCTTAAGAGTGCACAGGATAACATCTGGTCAGTAGTGGTCCCTTTCCATTGATGTACAGGGCAGAGAGCCCATAGATTGTGCAGGAACAGCCAATACCTACAAATTGCATCTATATGATAGGTGTTTCATATAAAATGGCCAATGAGAGTAGGCTAATGGTACCTTATAAATTGGTATTTCAGTGCATGATTTCTGAAATCCATATCCATACAACAGAATCATAGCATTGTTATGGTAAGTACTATGTATTAATAAGGTTACTGATGTATGTGCCGCTTTTCTCCAGGAATGGCTACAAGTTTCTGTACTGTTCAGCTCGTGCAATAGGCATGGCAGACATCACTAAGGGCTACTTGCAGTGGGTCAATGACAAGGGCATCGTATTACCTAAAGGGCCTGTCCTTCTCGCTCCTAGCAGCTTATTCTCAGCATTACACAGGTACATCAGCACTCATATTCAGATGATTTGTCATATAATTGCTGTCAGAACAAAACCTCCATTAACGTCTCCACTTTTCACATATTTTATATTTTTTGTAAAATTAAAAACTTTATTACTGACTGTAAAAATAAAAAACTGACATTGCTGTAAAATTATTGTATAATTTTGGAGATATAAGGTTTTATATGTGTATGTATTTTCTATGCACAGGACAGCAGACATATCTGTAGGATATTGTTCTAAACACCACATTTTCTATACAGGGAGGTGATTGAGAAGAAGCCAGAGGTGTTTAAGATCACATGCCTGACTGACATCAGGGACCTGTTCAATCCACAAAGACATCCGTTCTACGCTGCCTTCGGCAACAGGATCAATGTAAGAATGATTCAGAAGAAAAGGGACCAACTTAATAGACAGATCTCATAGTTTTTTAGTTATGTTTTGTTACTCCGAGAGTAAAAGGTTTGGGTGTATGTTTGGGTGTAGGATGTTTTTGCGTATAAGAAGGTTGGGGTACCAGAGACTCGTATCTTCACTGTGAATCCTAAAGGAGAGCTTATACAGGAGAACAGCAAAGGCTACAAGTCCTCGTAAGTAAAAAATACTTAAGTTATTTTTATATTTTGAAAGTAATTAAATAATTAAATAGTGCACAAAAACAGGTATATTAGAACCATTTATGAAAAGTATTATTGTTTACAACGTTTGTGTGTGTGTGTGTGTGTGTGTGTGTTTTTCACAGGTATTCTCACTTGAGTGAGTTGGTGGAGCATGTCTTTCCCTTGCTCTGTAAAGGCCGGCCTACATCCTTTGATTACCCAGAATACAGTCATTTCTCTTTCTGGAGAGAGCCACTACCTGCACTGGACAACTTCTCCCTCTAGATGTCCACACTTTCTCTGATTTCTTTCTCTTTTTCATACTCTATACCTGTTGCCTGTCTGCTTTATTATCATTGCTATAACACTAAACCACTGAATGAACACATGGGCTCACAATGCAAAGTAGCGCCTTACACAACGAGCTGTGCATAGCCTGAATGAATTAAACTGTTCTATCTTTGCTAATATGCCAAAAATGGAAATGAAAAGGCCAAAGTATAAGCTGAAGGAAAAAGTGTTCTCTCTTGTCTTTTCATTAACATATAAAAATAATCTCTATATGGATCATTCTACCAAAATGGTTTAAAGTCAGAGTTCAAAACACATTTCAGACTTTTAAGTGATTGAACAATCCTTTTACTTTGAGTGACCCTGTACCTTAATTATGTTTATTTTATTAAAATAAATGAATGAACATTCCATTTTGTCACTTCATAACACTACTGAAACTTTACCAAATGTTTCAGTGGTGACAATGCTAGCTAATTGTGAGCATAACTCAAAAACACCAACCAGTAAATGACTAGGAAACACAAAAAAGTTTATGTAATTGCAGAAAATGTGTTTCAGTAGTGACAACTCTTACACATTCTCTACACAAAACAATGGGATCTAACTGCTCACCCTGTGGCCATGAGGGACAGGGCTGCAGTTTTACTTCCTGCTCTAATGGACTAAAACACTTTCGGTAGTGACATAAAAATGTGGGACATCATTTTTTGTAAGTTTTGTTTTTCTTCAATTTGTTTTAATTTGTGATAAATCTACATCTTCTGACTAAAAAAAATGAAAAAAGTACCAGAAATGGGGAAAGTTGAAATTTAGGGGTTAGGGTTTGGGACAGCCACCTCCTATTAGAAAGTATAGTATAAATAATGATTTTGTATATTTTACCTAATTTACATACATACTTTATATACATATTTTGTATGATATTTAATTCCTTGGGACCACAGTTTGAATTACTAACTACAGTGAACACTAAAAACTATGTCGTGTATCACATGGAATCATACAGAAACCACAAAAAATACCAAGTCAAAATATATTCTATTTTAAATTCCTTTATATATAAGCCCCCTTTGCCTTGATGCTGCGTGACACACTCTTAATTATTCTCACAATCAGTTTCATGAGGAGCCACCTGAGATCTTTTCCAGCAGGACTGAAGAAGATAAACATATAATGAGACCCTGTTGTTGCTGAAAACCACTTGTTTGGGAGTGGGGCTTTTTTTTTCTTTTGTTCATGTTTTGAAATTAAATTTAAACTTTTGTTTTGGAAAAAATGTCCATAGGTATCAGCTTCACTATTTCTCTATGTCTTAGAAACAAATCTCATTTGCATTAAGCATAAGCCTTTAGACCAAAATGTTAAAATTAAAGACATTTGAGATACACAAATGTCTTTAAAAACATGTAACACCTTTTGGTATGTGAAACTTTGTATACGTCAAACATGCTGTAGCTTCACGCAGTTTCACCAGTGTGCCACCACAAAAAGATAAGTTGCCAGATTCTGCAAGATAAGTTCATTTACGCTCATCTAAGCTCATCATTAATGCTCCAGGTGCCATAATTCTCACAAATGTTCATTTGGACTCAAATGGGAAACTATTTCAGTGGATTACACTCGGCTTAAGCATGAATGACTGGTTCAGTGTTACATGAAAGAGGGGAATAGGACGTCTTGGTTATTTTAATCACTCCTTAGGAATAGATAGATAGTCTTAATGTCAGCTTTTATGTAGATATATATTTGTGTGTTTGATGTTGATTGATAGATACCAACTTAGATACTAAAGGTGTTTTGTAGTTCACTTACACTAATACACAATGACTAAAATACTACTTTCAGCGGGATTCAGTCTAAAAGCATAAATCTAATACAACTTTATAACTAATAAAGTATAACTATAATGTTCCTTCAGAATTACTGTAAAACTCCTGTAAGCCTACTGAAGAGATATTAAGGGATCTTGTAGAATACCATGCTACACTCTAAAAAGATGGTCCTTCAAGAGTTAGATTACAAAATAGAGAACAAAACATATGAATCGAATTCCAAACAATTAGAGACTGTATGTGAAATGATAAAAACAGAAAGCAGTGATTAGTAAAACTCAGTTTGAAAAAAGTACAAAAACGATATTTTATTTTTCACCTTATGAACGAAAGCACCTGTAATGGGCATGCAAGCGCCAGAACTGTATCTTGGAGCAATGGAAGAAGGCCTCATTTTCTTTTACATCACATGGATGGCTGGGAAAGTGGTGACACCAGGATGCCCCGTGGAAAAAAGATAAGCCAGTGTGAGAGTGTAATGCTCTGGGCAATGTTCTGCTGGGAAGTCTTGGGTCAGGGCATTCATGTGGATGTCAATTTGATACGTGCCAACTACCTAAACATCGTTGCAGACCAGGTACACCCCTTCATGGCGATGGTATTCTCTGATGGCAGTGGCCCCTTTCAGCATCATAATGCACCCTGTCACACTGCACACATTTTTTGGGAATGGCTTGAGGAACAAAATGAAGATTTCAGTCCGATCAAGCATCTGTAGGTTGTGCTAGAACAGGGGTCTTTAATTAAAATTCAATAAGGTCCAGTTAGAGAAAATTTCCTCAAGCAAAGATCCGGAACATCATAATGTCTAACTTGCATCATGATTCAGAACTATATACTGTATACTGAAGTAGCCTAGAACGTATATCAACATCTTTTGCAGCTAACAACTGAATGTTAAATCAAATTAAGTGAAATTCAATAATATTTCAACAACATTTATTGTAAGTATTCTCTTTTTAGAGCACGCCATGTGAAATAACTTCCCACTGACTCACTTTCTCCTCCGACTGCTGTTTCTCACCTCGGCCATCCCCTGTATGTGCAACACTCACTGGAGTCTCGGTGCTCATCGTAATGCACAGATCTGATTGGATGAGTAGCGTTATGTGTGATATATACAACGCATGTGATTGGTCTGTGAGTTTCCCGGGCCGCAAAAGCGGTACCATAAGGGCTAGAAAATTTATGCCGATTAAAATAGGACCACCCTGCCGAAATTAAATAATTCTCCATGGTTTATTGTTATAGGTCCTGATCCGCACAAGACAGCGTCTGGGTCTGGACTCGGACCGCGGTATGCCTATTAGTGACCTCTGTGCTAGAACATCAAGTCCAATTTGTGGCACAACTTGTAGGACTTTACAGTGTTCACCAACCCTGGTCCTGGAGATCTACTTTCCTGCAGAGTTTTGTCTCAACCTGCATCTAACCTGCTGTCCCTGCTTACCTAACACTAGTGCATCTGATCCAGCCAATCATGGACCTCTGAAGAAGTTAATTAGCTGGAGCAGGTGTGGCAGATTGTGGTTGAAGCTAGACTCTGCAGGAAGGTTGATCTCCAGGACCAGAGTTGGTGACCACTGCTTTAAGTACACCACAAATCACACTGCTGTCAACATCATGGTGCCAGATAAAATAGGGTTAAAGGTCTGGTAGAGTCCATGCATCAGTATATGTAGAGAGTGTATATATTCATACAGTGCCTATGTTCTTATTTATCATTACGATAAAGCAGCATGATTGAGGATTTGAATTAGCAAATATCTAGAAATTAGAAGCCATGCATTAGAATTGCTCTCCTTACACCAAAGGAAATGAAGAACATGGCACTTGAAGTATTGAATGTCTTGCACCAGCCAGTATCCTTTAATATTAAGCTGGGGCTTTCATATTAAGCTGTCAAATGAAACATACTGTATGCTTAATTACAGTGCTGTTTTTATACATATTGTACTTTATTTGGTTTGCAGTAACAATCAATTTAAGCAAAACTCTTTTTGCTCAACCTGCTAATATACATTCATTATTTTCACTTAACAGTTGCATTACATTTGCCTGAAAGAGTTCAAATCAAATCAGATCAAATCAGATCATGTTTATTGTCACATCACATGTACACAGGTGCAAGGTGAGTGAAAATCTATCAGATTAACAAACATGTCCTTTTACCAATGAAGCAAACACTTATTAATCAATAATTACTGATCAATTATCAATTTTTCACAACTCTATTAAATGTATGTTTTTACAAGGCAGCTGAAGAAACTCCAGATATTTATGTTTGCTATCACTATAGATGACAAGATTTAAGTCAACTACAGTGCAAAATTAAAGAAGCAAACTTTGGACCATTTCTTTAAACTGTATTCTTCAAGACTGGAATGGCAGAAAATTTTACAGTCTAGGTCTTAGGTGTCAGGCATATTTAGTGCTTTTGGGGCCCCCTCCAACCTTTGGGTTCTCCACACAGGAGCTTATAGCTTGAGTGCCTTTCTCGCACTGCTGTGCCTTCACTAAGTTGTGTCATCTAACAACATGGATGTTGATTGGCTGCAGTGACATTTCTGAAAACAGCTGCTACAATAGCAAATAACAGCGTTTTTAAAAAGGTATGTATATTTTGTAATAGGTGAACAACACACATCGTATTTGTATTGTGTACAGTGGTTTCATGGGGCCCAATTAAGCCAAGGGCCCCATGAAACCACTGTACACCCTTGCCTAGTAAAAAGACCACCCTTGCTAGGCGTGAATGAAGATCACACACAACTACTGCTGTTCTGAATTGCATTAGCCTAATTTGTTCATGCATTAAATGAGAATTCCACCATTTTTTTTTCAACATTTCTGCATAATTAAATTGTTAAGTTGTAAACAAAGTTATTCAGAGTAGTTTGATATGAAATGCATCTCTATAGAGAAACATTTTAGGAATAGTTAAAGATCAGATAACAGTAAAGATAACAATAGTTAGAGATAAGATTATTTTAAAAGTGGTCATGGCGGACAGGTTCATGCATGACAAAATAGTGTCCAAAGACAATTTACCACAATTTTTCAGATTTTCCACTATTATGCCATTATCAACATTATGAAATAGAATATTAGAATTAGAATTTAAATATTAGAATACATTTATAGGTTCACTGATTGTTTTGGAAAGTAAATTAATTTGCACTGTAGACGTCGCAACCCCTGGTTCCCATCACCACCACTGTAATGAAATCAGAGCCAGTAAGTTTTTCTGCAATGAACTGTTTTATCCCACCACTCTGAATGACTTCTCAACATGTTAACACTAGACTGTGCAGACATTTTGAAAAACCTCCCATAAACTCCTATGACACTGAACAGTTCTGCAAATAATAATGTTTGCAGAGATCAAACATTCCTGTTGTAAGATTCCTTTTGTATCCTAGGCTAGAGCCATATAAACCATGTCAAAGGAATCCTGAATTCAGGAATTTAAATATTCCTACAGGACACAAAAAAATGATAAACTGAAAGGTTTCTGCAGGTTTTCACCATTGGAAGTTATTTTAATCTGAGTTTAGGCTTAATCTGTGTCTGGGAAACTGGTCAGAAGTCTATGAAGCTGATGTGTAAATGGTCTTTCTGTTTTGTGATTTAAGAATTGTCCCATATGGAAAATAATGCATGTAGTGTATTTATCAAATACATTTAAAATAGTCTATTTTTTCTGTATGGAGTAGCTGGAGCATCTTTCTATTATGAAAAATATCCATAAAATGCTACAGGAATTACTACAGGATTCCTATAAGGAATCTAATAGGAAAACCAAACAACAAAGTTTACTGTAAGTTTACTACAAGTATTATAGGTTACTATAAAATGGTGCTACAGTAATACTACATGTGGCAAAAATGATTAGATTAAATTAGATTAGATTAGATTGGGTTAGATTAGATTAGATTAGATTAGATTGGGTTAGATTAGATTAGATTAGATTAGATTAGATTATTAGAAGGGCTACTGCACTTTAGAGAACTTATTGTTTATTATAGCACTAGTTTAGATATTTCTGAGGGTTGTCACATTAACATTTTGCTTTTCTAGTCATAATTCCTATAGAGGACATTAATCCTCATACCGAAAAGAAATACATATAAATGTGTGAAAATGGCTTAACCTACATTAGCGTTCTGAATGAAACAGTATGTTTGAAATGCACCTCACACAGAAGAAAATACACGCCCATGTGGGTTATAATCTGGGTTATGAGTTATAATATGGGTTCTATATTTGCGTACCGTTATCTCCACTTCCGTGAACTGTAACTTCCTGAAACTTCGTTGGACTCTGTGAAGTCATGATGAAGTTGGGCGGTTTTTCACTGTCAGCTCCTGCAGCTCCACGCTAACGGAGACCGTGCTGACATTGTCTTAAACAGCTCCTGCAGGCCAGTTTAGGACATCCCGCTGTCCATACTGGGCACCCACAAGCGCTGAGTCCGGACGTTAGACGTGGACAGGTGTGAACTTCCCAAAGGTCTCTAATCACGAGGGGAATCCATTACTGGCTCATATGACTGATCTAGACTGTTCGTTACGACGGGAATGAACAAAAAAGGGGTTTGAACAAAAAAGGCAAGTAATTGATTTGTTCTGTAATATGTTGTCGACTACCTTCAGTTGTCATGGAGCGCGTGAATCAATGGACGAGGCTAAATGTAAACAGAGATACTCAGGAAACGAAACTTACTGCACGCAGAGGTTCATGGACCTCACCGACGTGGTGAAACCTCGGGTAAGCTGGTTTTGTGATGGACCTCCGTTGGATATCGTCTCTCTTTGATTTCTCTTGAATGTTTTTCCGTCATCCGAGGGCCTCAAAGCTTTGTGAGGGAGCTTAACTGACCAATGCCACATATTTCATTTCATTTTGTTCTCTGGCTGAGAAAGGGTGCTAAAATTAGTATTATTATTTCAATTAAGGCCGTTCTGAGCAATCAAATCTTCACAGCAATGTCCTAACATCTTCATCACTCTTAAAAAAGGTAGCTCTTCAAGGGTTCTTTAGTGAAGTGGATGGTTTAGAACCATGAGTTCTATACAGAAACATTGCATGCTTAAATGATTCTTTGCATGGTGAAATGGTTTTTGTATTGTATGTGGTTCTATAGAACCTTTCTGAACGTGGTTCTGTAGAGGACAATGGAATTCTTCTGTTGTTACAATGTCAAGCTTGTAACAATAGCAGAACAAAAATGTTCTATGTAGAACCATACACACTACATTCTTCATCAATCTGAAGAACCATTTCACCATGCAAAGAACCATTTAAGTGTGCAAATGGTTCTATATAGAACAATTCCCTTTACTAAAGAACCTTTGTTTTTAAGCGTGTAGTGTAAAACCTGTCCAGAAGAGCACAACCTATTACTTTGGCAAAGGGGCGACAAACTCCCTATTAAAGGGGAATTCCACCCATTTTTTTAAAACTTTTGCAAAGTTAAGATGTCGTTCAGATGTTAACAGTCATTCAGAGCGGTTTGATGTGAAATACTCTGTTCTAGAGAAACTTACAGAGTCAGAATTGTTCACAGTGGTGGTGATAGGAACCAGACGTCTTCACAGGAAGTTATTATATGAAATGGTTATGAATATGTTGCCTGATGCCTGAGAGAGTATACCAATAGTTTTGAGAAGGCCTAAAAAGCGTATGAAATCAAGCTAACTTCATTTACCATTCATACATATTTAATTATTTTGTTCCGACTGATAAAAGGTCAAATTTTCTGGATGTTCTGTTCATAAGAAATTCAGAGAGCTAAAATGAATTGGATGATTTTAATTTTACCCTTTGTTTTAGACGGTATAATTAGCTGTTTCTGCTTTAAAGCAATGACTTTGGTGTATTTATCTAAATGGAAAAAAACATATATTTCCATGCATATTCTGTGTCCCACAGGGTTACCAGAGGTCCACACAATGGCTTTAGATTTCTCTGAGAGCGCCTTGGAACTGGAGCTCAGTTGCCCCATCTGCCTCCATTTGTTTTCTGATCCTGTCACCCTTCCTTGTGGACATTCGTTCTGCCTGACCTGCCTGGAGGAGAGCCGAATCTCTGAGGGCTGTGGACCTGACGTTCAGCATCACTGCCCAGAGTGCAGACTGGAGTACCAGGATACAGAATTCCCACAGAGGAACTTTAAACTTAGAAACATAGTCAAGAGCTATGAGGACACCATCGAGCAAACAGCCAGAGATGCACCCCGGGCAGGAGAAGTACAGGTAATAGATCACAATGGTAAGCGAAGATCCTCTAGCCAGGCAGAATATGGGTCTAACACAGTGAACAACATAGAAGAAGACACAGCTGGATGTGCCTTATCAGAGCCAAGCAAGCGCAGACTTAGATTAACTCCTGTAATGACGGACCTCCAAGCCAAGATTGCTCTTGTGGATGAGCTGCTGGCCAAGGCAAAGGAAAGAGAAGCTGCAGTCATGGCATCAAACACTGTCCTTAGAGCAGAGGTGAAGACACTACTGGAGGAGATGGTGGAAGTTCTGAGGAGCTATAACACAGCTGGGATGGAACTACTAGAAGCTGAGTTGAAGCCCAGAGAGGAGGCTGTGGAGAGCATGGTCCAAAAGTTGTCAGACCTTCATAAGCAGCTGAAGGAGACAGAGCTCCAGGTTAGCACACTTTTGGAAGAGCAAGATGATGACAGATTTAATGAAGGAATCCAGGGCATTGAGGCATGTGCTGCCAACTTAATTGTAGAACCTGTGGAAATTGGATTTAGTGATGTGGAGGCAAACACTAACCTGACCAACATGTGTGGAGAAATGGAGCGCCGCAATTACCAGCTCCGTCTCAAACTTGGAGCTGTCCAGCGTCGTTTACGAGCAACTCTCAACCCTTCTGAAGTGACTTTTGACTCAGAGACTCTTCATCCTAGCCTGGTCCTCTCCGAGGATCTCAAAACAATGTCCTTTAGTGTTGCCAAGCAACCATATCCGGCTGGACCCCAGAGATTCACAAGCTTTCTCCAGGCTCTGAGCTCTCAAAGCTTTTCCAGAGGAGAACACTGCTGGTGCCTACAGGCAGAGGGCTGCTCCTGGGTCATTGGGTTGTGCTATGGGGGTTTGCCCCGGTCTGGTCCTGGTAGTGGTCTAGAGAGCAGCCGTGGGTCTTGGTGCCTAATGTGGTGTGATAACTTACTTAGGGCATATGAGGGAGGAAAGGACACCCAACTCATGCGCACCCCATTTCTACAAAAGGTAGAGATCCGTCTCAGCTTCAGCACCAACAGTGTGGCGTTTTACAGCATTAGCAATGTTAGTGGAGCCAAAACTCACATATATACCTTCAGTGTGAGCTTCACTGAACCTGTCTATTTGGCTGTAAGAATGATGTCTGGACGGCCTAAAGCTCGAATAACACTGTGTGAATAAAGTTAAACAGTTTGTAATATTTGTGATGAACAGAGCTCATCTGTGGTTATTCTGCATTACTACATAATACACAAAATTTTGAGTCAACCCATGAAAAATGGCCATTAGCTGTTTACAGTCTAATAAAATAAAATAAAATAAAATAAAAGCCTGCAGTTTTTTTGTTTACTTACTAGGGACTCTTTCTTTTAATTTTTTTGTTGTTATTTAGTTTTGTTCAAAATGAACGTGTTATTGTTGTTTATTATTGTTATTGTTGATGGAAACACTAATAAAAATATTCTTATAAAATTGTATTATAATTTTTATTATCATTTAATTCTAAAGTAACTACTGTTAGGGTATCACACTGGAGCCCATGACCCAGGGGGTGCTTGGGCTGCTCATGTAGATGCTGACAAAATTCTACACTCCTGAGCTGCACATCAGTTCTTAACAACATGCCTTAGTAGTTAGCATACATTAACACGACTTAGACAATGCTAATGTCTTACTTGTCTTATTCATAATGCACCTTATCCATGGTAGCCATTTCGATGGCCGTTTCACAACCTGCAACATTATACATTCATTATTTATAAATATAAAATCTTAGTCTAATATAAACATTTAGGCCAACTTCAGATGTTAGTGGGTGGAGTGGCCTATGCATTGAGTAATAGGTAAACAAATAAATTACATTATCATTTTTAACCCCTTAAAATCCCAGCCTTACTGCATAAAAACGCTTATTATTCAGTAACTACAGGGACTTCAATGCAAACTGGTGGAGCTATTCTTAGGTTATAGAAGTGTGTAATAAACCTATGGTCTGTTAAGGGGTTAATCATTGAAAGTGATTTTTGTATGGATGCCCACTATTTTTTATATTTTTTTATAAGACCCCTGCATCTCTCAACAAATTGAGCCCTGACTGCAATGAAATTCTAATATTGTGGCTGTTTAAAGAGGAACTCCACTGATTCTTCATAAATCCTACATAATTAAATATTTGAGATGTAAACAAAGCCATTCAGAGTGGTTTGTCATAAAATGCTCTATTCTAGAGAAACTTCTCAAGTCAAAATTGTTCACAGTGGTGGTGATAGGAACCAGACATCTGAAAGGTTTACTGCCTTTGAAAACTCCTCACAGAAAGTTGTTACATGAAATGGTTAGATGTATGCTTCCTGATGTCTGACACATTGTTTTATAATATTTTCAGGATCAAGTTTTGACTTGATCATAAATAAACGTAATAAATTTAAATCCATTTATTTTACTCCATTTGTGGCAGAGGGGTATATTGTGAGAGAAAACGGTCCCCAAAGAAAACTTATTTTTCCAGATATCTGACTATTTTGCCATCATCAACGTCACATATAAAAACTCCGAAGGCACGTGAAACTTCACTAGTGGTTTTGGGTAGTAGATAAAATGGCTATATTTGTGTTGTGGACATTATGACCCACAATGAACCACTTCACATGAAATCACTCTGAATCTCAAGGAATTATTCAGACATTTTGAAAAATTGGTGGAATTCCCCTGTAACTGTTTGGAATTTTCCACACGCCGTATCGTGTCTTTTATTTTGAAGTTTCGCTCCTCTCGGACTTGTTATTTGTGTCTACAGTGGGTGTGTGCTCACGTGCATTGACGAGTCGGGCCGGTGACGATAAGCTGGTCTGATGTCGGAGGCTGTTCTGCGCTATTGTTTGTATCGGCTGTACATATCGAGGCAGAGCGGAAAGCTGCTATGTTGCTTGCTTACAACTCGATTGATTTGACAAGGGAACCCGTCGGATTCTGATCTGAAGTAGTTTCAAGCGAAGGTGAAGCAGCTTTATGACGAACGGAGCTAAAAGAAAGCACAGCTAGCGCAGTCGCTGCTAGCTCAGTAGCCTTTCGGTAGTCATAAATACGAGCTAGGGCAGATGACACAGCTAAGCTAACCGCTTAGCTGACATACCAACTGACACTTTGACTGGCATAAAGAGACTGTTGTCTACATAATTTATAACATAATTAATAACATAATTTAGGCAGGAAGCTTTGATGTTGACGAATAGGCTGTACGCAGTCAGTCTAAAGCTAGCGTTAGCTGGTTGCTGTAAGCTAAGTTAACTGAAGTAACTTAGGTTAGCTAACGCTAGCTGATGATAGCGGACGTTATTTGGTTATGTAGCGTTAATTTAAACTTTGCAAGAAAATGTTAAATGTTTACAGTTGTCTTTTTTTTACACTTACATGATTGTGTCGCCTCAAAGTAAGACAGATGTTTACATTTGTGCAACAGGCGGTATTTTAACATGAATAACTCCGTGTTATGCAGCTGTATTGACTGCTGACTGACAACTGGCGTTAATGCAGTTGTATTAGTTCTTAAAGGTCCTCGTCAGCAAGACGGCGTTAGGTAGCTAACCTACCTTACCGACAGCGAGTACACATCGTGTAAGATTAGCAAAACAGCTAACCTAAACTTCTAAAGCTAAAATCGGAATCCAATACTTTTATCTCTGTAGCCTGGACTATGAGCTGCTAACCGCGTTTCGGACAGTCACAGTGTTGATATCGTCATGTGACTTCTTCAGCTGAGCGCTCTGTTTGTTAGCGAGAAAAGGCTAACTCTACGTTAGTCATACTTTTCTGTTGACATCTGTTTACATCCAGCGTTGCAAATTTGAAGGTTTAATTTACTAGATAAACACGTTTGCTTGTGTTGTGTGTTTAACTCATTCACATCTCGCGCAGTTGCTTCTCTTCACGTACGACTTTTCTTGCTGTGTGAGCTAACACACATTTCTGCCTCGCCAGGAGGTTCATTGAACGTTTGACTGCTAAGTGTTTTACAGTTTGTTATTGCTGATTAGCTGAGCATGTGTGTGTTGTCCTTCAGACTGAATGCAGAATGCTGGACACGGTGACCGCCGTGGTGAGGTTTGCGCAGTACGGCAACGGCACCGCGCTTCCAACGGCGGAGAACACGTCAGCCGTACCTACATGGCCGTCTGAAGCGAACATCAGCCAGCCACACAGGTGTCTGCAGGTCCTTTACGAGGACATTGGCCACTCCAGGTATTCATATTCTTTCAAATGTTCCTGGTGGAATGAGAAATGCTTTAGCTCATTTGATTTTTGAAAGAAAAGACTGGATTCTGTGCAAATGTCTTGACAAGTGAACCGACTCATTCATTTAAATTCAATCCAGTTTAAATCAGTACCTCCTGAAGTACTGCTTATAATGCACTGTGTGTTTGTCATTTACAAGGTAGGGCTGCACTTCCCCTTTTCTGCTGTTTATCAGCAAAAAGTCCTGTTGTAGCATTTCCTTGTAACTCTGTACAGTGGGCACTTCCCACTGTATAAAAGAAGAACTTTCAGTTTTGGTTGTGGTGTGGGAAAGGCTGGTTGTCTTATGACTGGTCTGATGTACCGTAAGTTACTGAGGCTGTGACCAAAATTAGCATTTTTAAGACACAGTTTGATCCTGCAGATGCTGCTCAATCTCTCACAATGCACATTTTTAGTAAACACCGTAGGTCACTTCATTAGCTGAATGTATACCAACATGCAGTGCAGGTCTCTTGTCACTAAGCAACAAGTACAGTAACATTAGTTAATGTTAACGGTGGCTGAGCCGAAAACAAAGCTAGACAGACTGTCAAAGCACTGTTTAAAAAAAAACAAAAAAACAGCAGGTCTGGACAGTTAAATATAAAGACCGTAACATGTTTTCTGTACAGAACTGCTGTTTATTTTTAAAGGTGTTTCTTCAGAAGTTTGAGAGTCTGCATAGTTTTGTTTTTAGCTTATCCACCATTAACATTAACTGTTAAGTTCTGTACAGTTTAAAAACAAAGACCCTAACACTGTCTGCTGCTCATACAGTGAAAACACGGACTAGTAACTATAGGCAACAATCATGGACCGAGAATAAAATGTGCAGCTCTAGTCATGTTCTGTACTTTTTTTTTCCTGATCCTCATCTCCTGCACTTTTCAAAATGATTTTCTAATGTCTACAGTGCAGTTGTCACCAAGCCTGTTTTTGGAGAACTACATGTCCTTCAGACTTCAATTCCGACTGTACATCCCACTTTAACCACCTAATTATTGATATCAGAAGATCTTCATAAGCTAAAAGAGGTGTGTTAGATTTGGGTTGGAGGTTAAACCTGCAGGAAGGTAGATTTCCAGGAGGAGGGCTGGTGACCACTGGGTCTTGGCTACAGAAAAAAAAGCCAACTGTTTCACTCAAGCAACTAGTGTTGGTTTGTTTATGCAACTGGTGAGTATTGACCAAGGTTGAAGATTAGAACATTATATTTCATGTATTGATTCATACGTCTTTACAGCTATTTGGTGAATTAAGTAGTTCACCCATACGGCACAGTGCCAATCAGGGAGTGGAAGTTCATTTTGATCACGGCCTAATTCTTCTACTTCAAGCCTTAGATAATCACAGTGCTATCTGTTTTCTTTTACATTACAGCAACACTTCAGTTGTGCTAATGTTATTATGCAATGACTGAATTAAGCCCACTCTCTGGTCCTTCTGTTAGGGTGCGCTTTTGGGACTTGCTGTTGCTGGTACCTAACGTGGCCTTCCTAGTGTTCCTGATATGGAAGCTGCCATCAGCCCGCGCCAAAATCCGTGTCACCTCCAGTCCAATCTTTATCACCTTTTACGCACTGGTGAGACAGTTTTACATGTAAAACAATATTTACAGTCAGCGTCAAATGCCCAGACCTTTTTGTTCTCCTTTACTGAAGTGACTTTGTCTCTTTACCCTTGGTGTAGGTGTTTGTAGTGGCAGCAGTAGGAATCACTCGTGCTGTCGTCTCCATGACTGTGAGTGCATCTAATGCTGCCATCTTAATAGACAAGGTAAATAATACACCGCCTCTCTAAAAGAAACCAACAGGGACTTTCCTTTCTTCCAGAAAGCTGTGATTGTCATCACCTTGCGTTTTCAGTTTTCCATCTAAGTGATAAAGTGTAATCTTTACTTTAAACAAATTATCAAGATTAGTGCAAATCCTAAGAGAACCTGCACATAAACAGCAATTCCTCAGAGAAACATTTTGATCTTTTCATGCTCTAATTAACACATCAAACACCCCATATTCTGTTTCATAAGGTGCTCAACGCTGCTACTGTGACATCCGCCCTCCTCCTTTAACTCCAAATGTAATGACACACCCACAGCTAATATTCAGTTTCACCTGAAGACTTTGATTAGCTATGTCTTGTAGCCTAAGCTGTTGTCTTATGCTTTTTATCTTTATGTAGATATAATATCCAAGCTTTGGAAGTCTACTCATTTCCTTACAGAAGCCATCACAAAGACGACTACCAGTTTTGGCAGAAAGCCATCTTTATATGGCCATCAACATTGATGGAACTTTGTTCTATGAATGTTGACTCTGTAACTGTCTGAATACTCTTCTTGTAGCTCTCATTTCTTTATATGACCATTCTTAGAAGTTATAAGCCTCTGTGGTCTGTTCTCATAAATTATGTACTAAGTGTTGTCAAAGTATGTGTGTTCTGAACAGGCGGTGTATTCCAAATATATATAAATAGAACAAATACAAAAGGTCACAGAATGACTGAAACTTGGTGGCATGGCTGCCCAAAGTGTGGCCCATTACTTAGCCAATTAAGTTGGTCTGTGTGGACGTTTTATGTTTTTTTTGCCAGATAGTTACCCTAACCCCAACTCCTTCACCCAGTGAGAGAACAAATATAACTTTATTATTTATAACCTTTTATATTTGTATTTGTAAAGTATTTTTTAGAAAAAAATATAGTGTAATATAAATTACATTAAAAAATAAACATATATGCTTTTTTTATTGTCTATTTTTATATCTTTTTGGACCTCATTCCACTACAAACATTGCAGTTTGGTCTATCCTGATCTCTGGGTGTGTTACCTACTCTTGCCTCAGTGTGTTCTTTTTGATCTTTCTGTTCCTTCTCCTAACCAGTTGTTATTGTGGTCTGTTTAGTTTTAATCTCAGCATCTCTTTTTTTTCATTTTGACTCATTTTTTCATCAAGACTTTAATTGCAGTTGTTTAGCTAATTTCAGTGCACACATTTTGGCAGGTTTAGGCATTAGAGAACAACTACACCTACATATTGTAGGTGTATAAAACTGTATAATAGCACTGCTTTCTTTGTATGAGGATGGTGACACTCCAATAAAAAAATGCAAAAAATTCACAAGTAAACCAACGAGTAACAGAACTCAGAGACACACCTGTATCAAGGGGAATACCAAAGTCCCGTTGTTAGATTCTAGTTATAATTAGTGTCAGGTGAATATTCAGGTGATGTAATAATGATGAAACAGGCCAGCATTATTACTGAGGCTAAGTGATCAGAGAAAAGGAGAAATGGGCATCTATTGGTGGCTTATAAAGGAACACATCCTTTTCACTCTCGCTTTTCACTTCTCCTCCTCTGTGAATTTGCAGAACCTCTGTCTAAAACGGTGGAGATCTGTGACCCTCTTTCAGAATGGCAGAGATGCAACCTGGTTGAGGGTGTGCTTCAGTGCTGTTTGTTTAGTAATAAAAGCTGATAAGGGCTGTGTACTGCTTTCAGGTGCTGTGGGAAATTACTCGCTTCTTCCTGCTAACCATCGAGCTCAGCGTCATCATATTGGGACTGGCTTTTGGTAGGCTTTGTTAGTCTTGGTCTTAATAAAGTGCTTGAGTTTGATGTTGGTGGGATCAGTAAAGTTGAACAGTCTGGTTCCAGAAGCAAAAATCCCATTCACAATTGCTATAAAGAAGGTATTACATTTTTAGCTACCAAACTTTAGCTGCCCAAGATAGGCTTAACATGGGCTAAGACATTGTGCGACATCAGTATACAATCTCATTGAAACTGTAAGTTTCAACTTTGTGTTTTTTAAAAGCGTGTTTTAGTCCCCAATTTCTTATAAAGAAATACACTACCCATTATCTGTAAAGCAAGTTCCATCAATCGCGAGATGTTGTTTCAATGGAAATTTCAGCTATGTGGTTTGACAGCTGAAAAGCATAAAGCGATCTCTGTCATAAAGCTGCATACTGCCCTAGTTTCACTGTTAAATATGCTGTGTTTATTTAGAGATGAGAAGAGTGCTCGAAGGCATGGCAAGACACTGAGTTTTAAATGGTTTTAACAAGAAATCATTAGTCATTAAATTAACAAGAATTAAACAAATAGATAAAGTAACTTTGTAAGGGATAGCTTTTCCCTTTCATTTCTTTAAATGTTGAAGTCTCGTGGGTAAACTTGCAGATAGCCTTTACACTGAAGAGTCAGTATTGTTCCACTCAGCACTGATGGCTTCAAACAGTTGGGAAACATTTCCAAGCTAGTCCGTGTTTAATGTGAGACCATGTATTCTCTATAGGGTTTAAATCTGGACTCTGATCAGGACAAAACAAATAATAAAATTTAATTAGCATTTTGGCCTTTTTTGTGTGGGAGTGTACACACAGATCAAGTCATCATGACATGCTGCTGCAAAAAAAACAGAAACTATGTTAGAAAAGTTGGATATTAAATAAAGTGGTTGGTTTAAAAAAAAAAACAAACTCTCTCACTCTCCTCTAGTTTGTGTCTGACAGCAGGATCCCCTTTTCTTGGGAATAATCATGCAGACTAATAGCATCAAAGTTTACACACACTTCTGGTTCCCTTTTGGAAGTGCATATTTGTCTGTTGGAACCACTGTAAAAAGTAAAATTATTAATCTGAAGATTACTATAAGTCTTAATTTTTTCTTTTCATAGTAACGTGAGGTTAGCTGTATTATGACTGCCAAGCAACTTGCTAGCAAAGAAGAAAAAACACAAAACCAGAAAGACAAAAAGTAAATGCTATATTTAAATAAAACTATAATATAAACAACAATAACACAAATATATACAGAAATTCAGTTGAGAAAATGATTGCAAAAGCTGTCTGAAAACATTTGGAGTGGAGGGAAATTGCTTGGTTGACATAATTCACTGTACCTTTTGGGATACGTAGTTAATTTCGTTATTGAAAATATTAAGTACGCAGTCTCGTACCTTTTGCCTTTTTGTCCATTTTTTTTCTCTGAATGAACGTTTAAAATGTCATGATTGATCTCGTAGCTGGTTGGTTCCGTTAGGCACTTAAAAGTCTTCATGTAAGGATTTTTTTAAAATGTCTATGGAGAAAATTAATGGGATTTTTACTTCTCAAACCAGAGCTGCTGAAAAAGTGGCTGGTCACTGTTTAGCTCTGCAAGAGTGTTTGGGCAAGGCTCCAAACACTACATTTGCCTACATCTGTAACGTGGGTAAAAGCTCTGGATACGAGCGTCAGCCAAGTACTTTAAATGTAAATGGGAGTGATTAAATGAATCGAACATGAAAGTGATTGGCATATATACATTGAAATGTGGGCTCATTGTGCTATAACATGAATTATGCTTTGTTGTGATAGGTCATTTGGAGAGTAAGTCTAGTATCAAACGAGTGTTGGCCATAACTGCAGTGTTGGCACTGGCTTACTCTATTACACAGGTAGGAATCAAAACTTGTAACAACAATAAGTAATAGTTAATAAGTTATTAATACTTATTACAAGCATATGTCATATATGGCAAACTGTATGTGTTATCTGTATCACGTTGATATAATATGGCTCTTCTGTCTTTCCTGTTACAGGGTACACTGGAGATCCTGTACCCTGATCAGCATCTCTCTGCTGATGATTTTAATATCTATGGCCACGGGGGGCGACACTTCTGGCTGGCCAGCTCCTGCTTCTTTTTTCTGGTAATTGGCCAGTGGAAGCCCTGCTCTCATTTACAGTGTTTATGTGCACACCAGTGGTTCACTATAAATCTGCTAATCTAACTCAGATATGATTGTGCAAAGCACAGTTTGATTGCCATGGTCTGACAAAGGTCTTAGTTGACCTAAACTTAGTACGATTAAAAACGTGGAATACGCCACTGTTGGCAAGACTGGTAATTGGCCGGTAGAAACCCTGCTCACATTTACACTGTTTACATATACACCAGTGGTTCAGAATTGGTCTAATTAGACTAAAACTGCTAATCTAGCTAAGAAATGATAATAGAAAGCTTAGTTTAAAAATTCAAGACAGATTTGAGCACGAAATGCATAAGTTGCTCCAAAAAAATTACAAAAGGTGAAAGGATTCATACTTTTCTAAAGAGGCAAAAGATGTCCCTTATGTTGCATTTTGTCAGATATAGACATAATTGGATATTTATTTGGAACCTAAATGGAAAAAAGCAACAGAAATATTTTTAAACAGTGGGAACTTATGGGCGTATTTCACATTTAAAGGTAGACTATACTAGTGTACACATAAACAGGATTAAATACGGAATTCTATTTATACATTTATACAGCTCATGTAAACATCTTGGCTCCATCAAGTTTCTTACACTAATTAAGACCCTATTTAGGCTATTGTGTGCATGTAAACACAGTTATTGTTGTAATTTATTGTGTTTACAGAGATGGCTCTGTTTATTTTTAGCTTTATGTTTCTGCTGGGAAAAAATTGTTGAAGTATTTCCAAGACTTTTTTGCTTTTCCTGTAGGTTTATTCTTTGATAGTTGTCCTGCCAAAAACCCCGATCAGAGAGAGAATATCATTACCATGTAAGTGAAATCCTGATTCATAATTTCCAGGGGTGTCACGTATTAACTACTATTACTGAGTGTGACTGAAAACGTCAGCTGTGGCCCATCTCATTTTTGCTCTTGCTGTAGCTAAGAGGAGTTTCTACGTGTATGCGGCCATCCTGTCTTTGCTGAATATGGTGCAGGGTCTGGGCAGTGCTCTGCTGTGTGCTGATATTATTGAAGGCTTGTGGTAAGACCTTTTTTTCTCTGTCTTTCCCCTTCTCCTCTCTCTCTCTCTCTCTCTCTCTCTCTCTCTCTCTCTCTCTCTCTCTCTCTCTCTCTCTCTCTTTTTCATTTGTTTGCTTTCACCTCTAGTAATCTGGCAGTTTCTGTGCTGATTGATTCTCACCTTTTTCCTGCATTTCTGTCACATCTGTCTATAAAGCTAACTCTCATATAAATGCCAACTTATTATACTTTTATGTAGATATCAGCCTGTTTTAGTAAATGAGATCTTGCCCTCACTGTGACTTCCTATATGAACACAATATAAGACAAAGTTTGGCTGTTATTAATTCTGACAGTGTGTATGTGTTCGTTCCCAGCTGTGTTGACGTCACCACATTCCTCTACTTCTCTGTCTTTGCTCCTCTTATCTACGTAACGTTCCTCAAAGGATTTTTTGGGTATGTAGACATTCACAGAACATTGAAAAGAAGCATGCATTGTTGGTTAGCATTGCTGTCATTGGTAAATGTGCACATACGAGTCCTTGAAGCCTCAAGACCACCTAATTCCTTTGGAATTATGTCAGCACTGCTTCTTGTGCAGCATTTTTTCCAACACAGGCTCTTTTAAGTGGACAGTGGAACTAGATCAGTTTATTAAGACATACGTGAGCTGAATATTGGAAATTGGTGATAAAATCTTATGGCCATGTTTCCAGACTTGAAATATCAAATAAGGCACCTAAAATAGTTTAGTTTACAGTATGTCTACAATATGTAATTTAATATTTAATAAAATAAACATTAGATTGATTGCAAATCTTTGAATTGTAGTGCATGGCTGTACATAAACTATCCATGCAGGGAGCCATGGAGCTGAAGAAGTTGCAGGTGTTGTAGCACAAAATTTGGTTAATGATACTTCTAAAAAGTGTTAGTGCCAATATAAACAAATACAACAAGCAGAATGTAAAAGGTTTCAATTTTAATGTTCAATTTGTAAAATGTACAGAGAATTAATTTTCTCCATAATAATTTTGCTTCCCCATAAGGGGGCGCCATTAGCACATAGTTTGCTTTTGTGTGTATCATTGTGAAGGAGGAAGCCCTCATTGGCATAGTAAACTAATAAAGGGTAAAGTGCAATGTTATTTGAAGTTAACAAAGTTGTTTCTAAAAAAAAAAGGATATAGCAGCTGTAGAGACTGTAGATTCCAAATACAAATGTGTTTGAGCTGACTTTCTTTTTCAGAAGGCAAACAAAAAAAATCTTAAATCATTGGTGGATTTTATATGTCGCAAAACTTTCTATTTAGAAACATTTGAATTTGTTCTATAGTCCAGGAACTACCTGATAGACTACAACTACCATAAATACTAGGCTTGGACGATGGCTTGGGCAGTTTCCGAAATGGTGTTTCATATTGTGCATGCCAGGTAGTGGGAATACTTCACAAATTACATGTAGACAACTTCTGAAGCACAAGGACCAAACATTTGGAGGGAGAATCTACCTATGTGCACACACAAAGTCCTTTCTCAAGTGTGGGACAGTGATCCTTGTATTTGCCCTGAATACATTTCTGGTAGCATGTGCAACAAGCCCTGTACAGCCCTATAGTGTAATGTCTTTTTACACTGGCATTTAATGTATTAGTAAGCCCTGACTAGAATAAATCAAGATATTTTGTTTTTTTGTGTCTTTTCTTTCTTTCATCTCCTGGTTTTAGTTCGGAACCAAAGATCCTGTTCTCCTACAAGTCTCAGATAGATGAGCCGGATGAGCCGGACGTGCACCTGCCTCACACTTCCTCCGCTGGCCTGGGCAGCAGGAAAGATATGGAGCACGGTTCCTACTCCAGCACTCAGATCGACACATCGGGGGCCTACCTGGATGATGTTGTCTCCGGCCCCTACGGAACGGGCCACAGCATCAACAGCATTGACAGTGACCGCTGGAGGGCAATCAATGCCTAAGTGAAAGCAAGAGGAATGGAGGGATAATTAAAAAGGACTGGCCACGAGTGGCCTAGAGATTGGAAACCCTTCTGTCTTTCCTACACTGAACCGCATTCCCTTTGAAAGTGGATTTGAGCTCAGTTTATCACGGCCTTGCTTTACAGCTCAATATTTTGACAGTGCATTTGTTGTTCCTTTGATTCTGAAGTGCTTTTTTGCCCTTATGAAGTGTCTTTCTTTTTTTTAAATACCCAGTGTACTTAACTGTACCACCATGTTCGAAGGCCTGTGCAGTTTTTCGGTACTGTGTTGAACACAGTACTCAGAGTATTAGCTGGGGTATTATAGTAGGAGTAGTGGTGGATTAGAGATGGCTTGGTTATAAATGAGCTCAGGCTTAATTTGCTGATTCCAGAGAGGTGGATTGATTTTAAACTGCAGAACGGGTATTACATGGAGTCTCACTGTGTGCTGAGTTTCCTTTTTTTTTAACAACTGTTGCTGGAAAGATGCAAGGCTAGATATATTGTGCTGACCTGAGCCTAAGTCTGGACCCACTGCTTCTGTGTTCCCTTGTGTTTTTATTTATTTTAGTGATTATGCTATATTTTCGCCTGTTATAGCGGTAACCCATCATCATTCCCTCTGACAAACACAGAGTAAGCACTATGGGACGCATCCACAAACAATGGCAAAATGCAAAGTTCACAAAGACTGACTTAAAAAAAGGAGCAAATGCTAAAATTGTCTTTGTGTGAAACTGACAATGTGACAAGTGTTTGGTGCATTACCAATCCATCAAGCAATCATTATACAGGTTTTTCTTAGACCATTTGCCTATGCTGTTTCTACTTCATACAAAGACAGGTGTGTTTTACTGACCAAAAATCTGTATATATCTATCTAAATATTGTGTGAGTATACGTTTTCAAACTTTGACAGTGTTTCTTGTGATTTTCTTTTGTATTTAAAAGTGGAATAATGCATTTAAATCATTGTTGAACACCTAACAACATGCCCAAGATCAACTATGTAAACTGCGATTTTTTTTAATCTCTAAATATGGATGCTTATGATTATTTATGGGTGACGGCAATACCACATTTTTTGTCTTTGTAGTCTAATAGCTGAAAGATGGCAGATATCGCAGCTAACTCTTTGCCACAGAGCTCCTATGCTTGATTTGTTGTGCTGTAATATTGCCTTAGTTGATCCAGGCCTGCTTTCCATAAAAGCTGAAGTATAAAGATCAGGCTAGCATAGCAAACTGAGCATTAAATTGAGCACTTGCTCTAAAGAGACATTAGACGATCTTAAAACCCCAATGCTTTTTGTAAAGCAGGCCCTGCTTGGCAGTTATTAAAATGCCTTCTTTTATTCAGTATAACTTTCCCTTAAAAGGTAGATCAGAGTAGTAAAAGACTACATCTGTTAAACAGGATTGTCTCCATGAACTATAAGACTGTTATCATGCAGTATGTAAATGAAAGATTTATTTTTCCATGAATGTGCATTGTTATACTAGAAGTAGATCTTATCGCCACAAGTGTTACTGCAGTCCAGTGTTGTAGCCTGTTGGATGTCCCAATGCATGTTGCACCTCTCAGCGTCCCTCACCTTTTGGCCAAATGGTGTCTCTGACATGTTGCTGAAATTACTGTATTGTGGCTTGTGAATATGTGATGACGCAACATCGCTCGGCCCTATGAAGAAACGTTTTCATTTGGAGGGGAACACGACGATGTTAACTGTGAATGATGCAGATGATAATACAATTATTTTTAAATTTCTCCCAGATTAAAAGAGGATCACACAATAAGTTTGACTTTGTTCATTTCTCTATGCTGTAGTGTTGTAGTACAGCAGCCCCCTGCTGGTCTAAAGCGGCACTGCAGAGAGCCTCAGACTGAAGCAGCCTGACCACGTGACGTGTATTAACTCACTTTGTGATCTGGCTCAGTTCTGTCTACCGAGTTTTGTTTCACTATAAACAAACGTGATTTTTGTCCGCTTGTGAGGTGACCGTTTCGAGCGAACAGCCGCTATTCAATACATTTCCCAGGTAGCACTTTGAGCATCATGTGACGCCGGATACAAAAGCTATTGGGTTTTACATTGTTTAATCAGCCTATGCGAATCGAGAATACTGTACCGTCTTAGCGTAGTGACCCCTAGTCCCTGAGAAGCTAGCGTTAGCTACAGCTGTCACGCTAAAACTGTGCTTTTTCTCTCAGGCTGGCACTCAGAGGACATGGGAGGCAGAGAAAGTACGACGAGGAAGGTGTCTTACGGCCTGGACCAGGAGGAGAACGTCACCGTTTTGCAGGGCATTAAGGTGAACCGAGGAATGTCACTGCTGTGCTGTGTTCAAGTTCATAATGACATTTACGATCACTCTGTTTTCAGTTTCTCGGTGGTGACTGTTACGGCTGTCGACAAGCCAGCATCTCTTCACTCTGTGAATGGCAGTTAGCATACAGCTAGTGGACGTAAAGCATTTCAGACAAGAAATGAATTAACTTTTCCTCCCACCAACTGTCCTCTACGCGGCAGCAAAGAGAAAGTGAAATGGGTCACTTGAACGTTCAGCTAACCGCTGAGCTACTCTGGGAACGACAAACCTTTCCGTGCTAGAATCTGTTCATTTGAGTGACTGTTTCAACACTAAGTAGCTCAGACTAAGTAAGTGGAGTAATTATGTGTGGCTGTTCATGTCATGATACGACAGCAGTGTGAAGCAGTTAAAGGGCTGGATCACAAAATTTTAAAAGATTTTGGGTAACAGACTTCCATTGCCTGGTGGCTAATGTTAGCTACATTAGCTTCGTAGCTCCAGTAGCCCTTTAGCTAAACTAAAGAAGCAAACATTTCTTGGCCTGTTGATTACATTTTTGGGAAATTGTCTAAGATTTTCACTGAGCCATTTTTTTAAAGGTCCCGTATCCTACATTTTTCCTGTGCTTTCCTGAGGTCCACTTATGACATTTGTGTGGTTTCACCTACCAGACAAGCTCTCTTTGTCCCTTAGAGTGGAACAGGCTGTTTTTGTTACTGTGCCTTTGAAACTGATATATTTAAATGAGCTCCCTTCTGATTGGCTGCACTGTATTGCACATCACTCAAAAAATAGTCCTGGCTAAAACACTCATTATGACTTAAACGTGAATGGGCGGGGCCAAACTGCTGTAGACTGAACAGTGGAATATATATGTGGATGTATTTGTCTATATGACTATATGCTGATGCCGTTTAGTTTCCATATATGGACTGGGAGGTAGACAGTACAGGACAGTGTTCACATACTACATCAAACTCTTTCAAAGTGAGGAAGATTGATATGGAACTTTTAAGCTGATCACTGTATATTGGCAGGTAACTTTAAAAAGTACAAAAATAACTGCAATGCTGGAAAATGCTCTTACTTATTGGCCGTGCATAGACATAACTCCTGTTTAGTATAGCTTACTTCTTCTTATCTCGCACCACCACCTCGTGTGACCGCCCGTATCATATGGGGTCAGGCTATAGACTGAGCCCACTGCCAACTCTAATGTAGACTCAGCTAATGATAGCATTCATAGCTGTCTTGGCAGGCTTTACTTTACACTTGGCTCACTGTGTCACGGGCTACGCCTGGAAAGCACACATTTAGGTAAATGGAGAGGGTCTGTAATTAAAGCATGACTGAATCTCCAGCAGTATGACTGATATTCTGATATTGTGTTGTCTTAGCAGTGATTTGATTGCATGTGTTTGTTTTCAGTTGTCCGATGATGTTCTCCAGAGGATGCGTGAGTCAAGTCAGTCTTCAGAAAAATCACCACCCCCAAAGCCAGACAGCCAGAAGCCTGACCCAGGTACACACATTATCTCTCCATAAAACTCCTGCTCTCTTTCATTCTGGACACACTATATGCTTTCAGTTATGACTAAATTCCAATTCAGGGATGTTTCATTTTGTCTGTAAGAAGGTTTGTTTTTGGTTTTAAAGGTTTCTCTTTTTATGTTATTTGTCAAGGCTGCATAATATAGTAAAATACTTCAGTTAGCCCTCATAAATCCAAAAAAGTGGACAACCTTTTGTAGTGGTGTATTTGCTAATGAAATAAAAGAATCTTAATCTCTCCTTTAAAATAACTGAACACATTTCAAAAGATCTATTGAAACAGGGAAGATGTGAAGAACAGAAAAGATGAATAGTCTGGACTTGTCTTAAAAGGCAGAAGGAGCTTGTCTTCCCATTAATACAGTCACTGTTTATTTCAGAAAACAGATGTTTAATATTTAATAATTGATTGGCTTACATAAATACAGAAATTGCAGGAACACTGAGGAATGACTAATAACAAACAATTAAACTGCAAATCATTATCAGTCAACTTTTTCTACATTTTACCTCTCAGCCAGTTTGTTGACTAATTGCAGCATTTTGTCAGTCTACTAATCACATTTATTTTGTTTATGTATTTGCTCATTATTTGTTCATTTTTACACTGTAGATATTTCTGTAAATGGAGTTTTATGTAATATAGAGTCTCCGTATAAGTTTAAGCATTGTTCTGTTTTACTAAACGTGTTGTTCATGGGCATCAGTCCTGCAATGGATACAAAGAACAAAGCTGATGCAACATGGAAAAAAAGTCAGTAACACTTTTTATGAATGTCACGTTTGTAAGCATCTATAAACACATTCATAACATGTTATAATGCGTTCATAAGGCATCATAACCGTGGCTATAAATATTTCTAAAAATGCATTACACGTTATAGCCATGCTTATTATGCATTATAAATTGTTAACATAATGCATTATGTACTGTTCATAAGTACTGTTCATAACAAATTATAAGAGCTCATAAGTCGTATTTGTCCGCTCTAAGTAAAGTGAGGCGTACTGTACTAAAGCCTCCTCCAGTGTTAAGAGTGACGCTTCAAATAGACGTATTTACTGAAGGATTTACTGAAACACTAAAACATTCACAATAAAGCACATTACAGGCTTCAAATGTCAGAGTTTAAACTAGTGCTGCCATCAGTGTTTTACCCAATATGGGAAAGTCAGTGTACACCACCGTTAGCTTGGCACTAACTGAACACTGCATATCCAGTAGAATGCTAGCAGAAATTAGCATTTCTGTACTGTAGTGTAGTGATCTTACAGAGTGAAGGTTTTTTAGCGTTTGACGTTAGAACCAGTGAAGGAACAAATTACAATGACAGCACCCCACTGTCTCGCCTCTCCATCTCCAGGCCTTCACTCCACAGTGACGTCATGCTCAGTGTGATGTCAGAGGGGGTTCAGGGGAGGGGCTCATGAGTACTTGGTTTGCTGTGATGCAATACAACATTTAAAGTGAGACGCTGGTTAAGAAAAGCACATTGTAGCAATAATTCTATGCTGGACAGCCTGTTTGGAGCATCTGAATATTCAGGACTGAAGCCCTGAAGAGTCCTAACAGCACCAATGGTGAGAAATATAATACTGGAAATCTCAGGGCGTAAATACACTTTGTGTTTGTCTTTACACTCTCCAAGCTGGGATTGATTACTTTGGCACTGACAGTATAACATGTTATTAACACTACTTATAATGCATTATATTAACAATTCATGATGTATAATAAACATGGCTATAAAGTGTAATGCAGTGTAATTCATTTCATAACGATTTATAACCATGTTTATAATGCTTTATGAATGCATTATAACATGTTATAAAAGTGTTTATAGATGCTTACAAACGTGACATTCATAGAAAGTGTTACTAAAAGGTCATAATAATTCTTCTTGTACGTGAACTTCAAAATTTGTTGGGGAAGAAAGTTGGAATGTAAACTTTGTGAACAGTGTTTAACTTGCAGTACAACTTCAAATATGATGTAGACCGACCACTTAAAAATCTGTGTGAAGCGTTGTCAGGCTAAATTGGAGCCAACCATGCATGAAAAGTGTAATTTAAAAGTTTTTAGTAGCAATTGAAAGAATTTCAGTGAAAGCTGTCATTTAACTTACAAACTTGTAAGGGCTTGTAAGTTCTATATTTCAGTTCTTTGTTGGGAGCCGCTTTAATTCAACCGTTATAAGAAAAATAAAGCTGTGAAACAGCATGACTTTTTTTCTTATTTCACCCCAGATAACAAATAGCTTCAATTTGGATGTCATATTTTGAATTTACTTTGTGAACAGCAAACCCAAGAGTAGATAGCCACTGTAATTACTTCTCACATTTATGCTGTATCCCAGTGTGTGGAAAAGATCAAAAGCCCCATGTGTTATATTTCTATTAAAATCTTTTTGACAAATGCAATAGAAATGGATTAGTGGGCTTATTGGGTCCAGCAACATCAAGTTAGAGTTTAAGCACACAAAAAAGTTCCCAAAAAGTTGAATATCTAATTGGTTGCTTATTTTAGAAACATAATGATACAAATTTGCATTGACATTTTCAATAGTTATGTTTGTCTTTCTGAAGAAAAAACTAGCATGCCTTTTTGGAAAAGCTATGACAGCACACTCTTTAAGCCCACCACATCAGTAACTGCTATAAAATTATAGAGCTGTAAGTGCTATGGTTTAACACCACTGTGATGAGTTTCTCTTTGAGTTATAGCAGACTGTCCTGACTGCTATTGGTCATGACCGCCAACTCAACAAAGCTATCTTTTGAAATGGGATGTAACATTACATATCTAAATCTTAAGCCACACTTTTATATAGGTAATTAATTTACTCATTAATCTCTATAGTACTGTGAATATTATCAATACTTTCCTCGTATGTTCCACATAATTCCAAAAAAATGTTTCTTACATTTACACATTTGACAGACATGTCCAAAGTGACTTACAGTTTAATCAACCTACACAGGCAAACGTGGATCCTTATTGGTGGGGCCCGGTGTGCTTGCCCAGGCCCAGTCCAACACCAGCCAACCTAATGGGCAGCAGTATTACCCACTACGTCAGTGGTTCTCAAACTGGTCCTCAGACACCCCAGACATTCCACAGTTTTGCTCCAACCCAACTTACAATGCAGAGGGAAAGAGCAGGTCTGTGGACCATCTGTGAGACTTTATGACCTGATTTGAGAACCACTGCCCAACAGTATACCAACCTTTTCTTGCTAGGATCACATTTTAAGTTTTAATGGTGGTCTCTCCACATTCCACAACCTTCCACAACATTCACAGAAATATCTCAAAAAGAAAGCTGTTGGCTCAAAACTCACAGTAACAACTGAAGAAGATGCTTGTTTAATTGATCAGATACACGTTTTTTTTCAAATTCTCCTATTTTAAACTCATTTTACATTCAAATTGCAGGTGAGCTTACAGGGTAGATGAGCTTATTGAGGTCTTTACCCTGATTTTATGTATCTTTATTGTGATCTTGGCCTTTGCAGTACAGATATAGCAAAAGGTTTTGCTGTGCAAAAGAGCCCCCTACCCAGTCTTAATGTTTTTTTGTACTGTGTACTATGAGCATCTTGACCATTTACAGTTCCAGATCAGTGTTTCTGTTGGAGTTTTGTCGAATCAAGGTTTTATGTAAAAATAATTTTAAAAATATTTTAAAAATAAATTATGTTGTGTAGCAATATATTTACAATCCTAGTATTTTCCTTATATTGTGCAGCCTTTGTATTTATTATAACAGACATGATGCAGTGTGTGGTTACATTTCATTTAATGAATGCTCATGGTATGTCTTACAGGTGCAGCCAGACCTTCTCCAGCTGATATGCAGGAGGAACTAAGGAAACGGTCAGTGTGTCCATTTACCCTAACACTGTGTTTAGTATATGGAGTAGGACTGAAAGATAATCATTTTTATATCAAAAGTGCAATTTAAGGAAGTGCAATTGCAATTTTTAACGTATAGCCTACATTTTAAAAACGTCTTAAGTTTTAAGAGGGAAAACTGATCCGAACCTCAATTTATAGAAAATAATCGCGATTTAAATAGCAGTCACAATAGTAGTCAGAAAAATCGCAGTTAGAAATGTTCCTCAGATCATTCAGCCCTAGTATGGATTGTCTGCAGTGGTGTGGTCCAGATGTTGAGCATAAATGGGGTTTTGTGAGGGTCAAATAAAGTTTTTAGTTAAGTGATGTGGTCGGTAACTGTCTGGGTAAGTTAGTGCTTGTGTTCTGTGGAAGTCATCTGTGGTCTGCAGTGGTCTATAGTGATTTGAAGCCATCTGAGACAGGGTGACGTTGTCTAGCTGTCCGTGCTGTGGGTTTTAAACAAGATATGGCCCTAGTGAGAGATTTTAGAAGCTGTAGAAATAGGCTGTGGTCTCTAGAAAGCTGTGTGATGACAAAATGTGGTTCGTTAAAGTACTTTATTCGTCTTTAGTGGTAGACCGTTGTGATCCAGTGTGTTTTTCAGTGCGCTAATGGTGATGGCGTGTCAGTCCCACAAGTCTGGGCAGTTTGGCAGGGGAAGAATTGTGGTGGTCTGTGGTAGTTTGATATGATCTTGTACTCCAGCCTCCCTTAAAAGCTTGGTTGCACACAGCATTGTGCAGCTCTTCAGAGTGCTTGGAAACAAACTAGCTCCCTTAATAATAGGGGTGAGCACCAACCTGTCATACTTCACTTCCAGAATACTGTGCCAGTCCTGCAAACTACATGTCTTGGAACAAAGAAGCAGCCCTTGGCTAATATTTTGTGTTTTGGGCAATGCAGTACGTTATGATTAAAATTCATGATTGGGTATTTTGCCATCATTTTACCAAATGACTACCAAATTAACTGCACAGTGCCTGAGTACCAGTGCTAAATTTCATCACCCTTCTCACTGAGGTACCAAGCATACCGGGCCAGAACGTATGGGTGGGGCTAGAAATGGTGCAAACTATTGACTGGTCAGTTGAAATTGTGACAGCATCATCGCTCAGTGTAACTGGAGTCAAATAACCATTATTTAAAAAAACAAGAAAACAAAACTAGCTAGCCAGTATCACTGTCTGTGACTTCACATAAAACCAAATGCAGAGTTAAAGGTAAATCAAAGCCTGAAGCTCCTCCATTGTTGGGACTGTGGTTTATGTTTACTGTTAACACTAGATTCGTGTGAGAAATCATGTGACAAGCTAAAGATAACAGCAAAAGTATGCAAAGTTCTGTTCTGTCGTGGGAAACGGACACAGATACTTGATTAGGCTACAGATAGTTCTGGGTGGGGAATTGCAATCGTACTGTGCTGTGCCATACTGACCAGTGGAAAATGCCAGTAGATATAGATTTACAGTACAGTAGTGTTGTTGAGTCCAGCCATCCTCAATGATACTTCATATTCCTTTGTGTTCAGATATTTGTAGGAAAATGTTTGTAGGAATTCAGCTACTTTTACATGAGCCTAAGGTCATCATACTCGATGCCAGTCATCGGATAGAGGGGTATAAAGCCCCCCCCAGCATTGGGCTGTGGAGCAGTGGAACTGCATTCTCTGGAGTGATGGAGCTCCATGCAGTGCCTTTAGGATGAGTTGTATCATATTAGTGGTACAAGTCATGAGTCACGAATGTCTCCTGAGCTTCATGCATGCATTGCCCCCCTGAATATGAACACCTGTCTATACTCCCGTTCTGAATTATACATCGTCATTTTCTGTGTAAATACTTACAGTTTTCAGCACCCACTGAAGTGTTCTTGTTTATTCCATCAGTTTGTCTGTTTGTTGTTGTTTAGTTCCACATTTGTTCCACTTATAACCTTTGTACAGATTCATGTACCAAAATAGGGTCGACAATATTTTATTCATATCATGATAAATTTTAATATCATGGAACACAATGAGCTTTGCTTGACATACTGTGGATATTATCAGTACTTAAAGAACAAACAGCACGTTTCAATAACGGGTAACATAATTAGTCCTGTTTAACTGGTTTAATGCAGTACATAATGTGAAAATTTGAATAAAAATCATTGAATCCAGAGTTTTTTACAGCTGTTTTTAAATGTGGCACTACCAGTGCATTGTGTAGGTGTGTCAAAACATCATGATGCGTATCGTGTATCGTGAAAATGTTTTCAAAGGGCAGTGCAGTACGGTTTGTTTTCAAGGATTTTCAAAAAGAAAAGAACAGAGACTAACAAGCTTCAGTGCTGATGCTGATAGATGCTGAATGTACTAAGAAGTTCTGCTGCAGTTCTGTAAGTTACTCAGTCAGTATTTATTTTATTTCACTGAAGTAACAGTACTTTAATGCTACTCTATCACCTCAGCGAAGTAAAGTGTACTGTGAACATTAGACAAAATTGACCTCATTGTCTCAGTACTTCTGTATCATACTTATTAATATGTTTAAATTTGTATTTAATCTTATTCAAATCAATATAAGTCTTGTCACAGTGGGAGTGTGAGAATTTAACTTGCCCTTATTGTTCTCTGTTATGATGTTCCTCCACAGCAGCTGTGAGTTTGAACTCTGAGTTTAAACCATGACAGATTCAAATCAGGTCAGAAATCTCTTGGTGTTGATTATAAGGGCTGTTTATGTGAAGAGAGCTTGAGGAGATGTGTAAGTGTCTCAGATTTCTGAATTCCGCACCTAACACTCTTTAGAGTTCTGTAATTACATCACAGCTGTAATAATGTGGTTGCCTATGGTGCATCTGCATTGTGACATCATCAGTCTTTGTGTGAGTGAAGGACTTCACTGTGATCCAAACACAGCATCTCTCATCATTTCTGCACCATTGGTCCTGCTAAGAATGTCAATAGAGAGTGACTGTAGTCAGTGTTGCCATGACAATTTCTCATTACTGATGTGTCTCAGTGACCCTTTAAGCAAATAGCCTTTAACCTTCAAAGCTGAGGCCAATCAACAAACAGTCTGTACTTTGAATTTACAGGTTTGTAGATGCATGCTTATGCAACAGTTCTTCTGAAGGGGTATTAATGGGCAGTTTGTCCCCCTTTGCGGCAACAGTCTCAACTCACCTGGGACTAGATGTTGGAACATTGCTATGGGGATTTAATTGCATTCAGCCATGAGCAGTAATGATGTCAGCCACTGATGCTGGCTGGTTAATTCTGGATCACAAACACCACTCCTACTCATCCCAGAGGTACTGGATGGGGCTCCATTACTCCAGAGAATGCATTTCCACTGCTCTACAGCCCAATGCTAGGGGCTTTATAACCCTCTAGCCCACGCATGGCATTGGACATGGTGTAATTAGGCTCGTGTATGGCTGCTTCAGAGCATCCCATTCTATTGTCAGTGCTTTTCCATTGAGATTATACAAGTCCTCTGTAGTTAAAGTTAAATGCCTGTGTCAGGTGAATTCACTAATGAGTTGGGGTGTCTGGATATGTTTACATACAGTGTATTTCAAAATACTTTTTCACCTATCACTGCTGTTTAATGGCAATAAAACATCACAGCATATTATGGCCAGGTAATGATTTCCTGCATGATTAGGTTATAATGCAGGCATTTCATAGATCCCCAAATGTTGAAGAATAGTGATTGTTCACAAACAAATCCTGTACCCCTGTAGAATTCAGGAAAAAAACCCAGAAAGGCACTCTGAGTTAAACCAACCAGTGGCTGTGCCTTTAACTTATCTGTGTTGAAGGCTGACTGAGATAGGCAAGTGGGCCAGAAGAGTTCCATTATTCTTTCCTAGAATTTCTGGGAAGAAAGCCAGTAGAAAAATAAACACAGTCTCTGTTGAGGAATAGTACCATACGATGTCTGTTTTGGTGGAATGTAGTTTGTAGAATATAGTCCATTTGAGAGGTTTTATACAATGTTTAGATAGCACAAATGTTTTGATAGCAAAAAAGATGCTATTATAATGCATATATTTAGTTTACAAATTTGCTATATAGACTACACAATAAATTGTATTCTTACAGCTATTGTGATTAACTCATTGTTGAGAGCTGCAGTGGCATAATGAAGTCATAATGAATCAAATTACCTCATGTACCAGAGTGACGAAATTAGACTGACAGTCTGATTTTATGGGTTTTAGAAGCTCAACGAGTGCTTCCATGTACTGAGCTTGAATGCTGCTCTCCCATGTGGAGAACATCTATCTTAACTAAATGGCCAATTACAGAACTCCCACATGCACAGCTCAAAAACTGCTCTATCTTTAACTACGAGCCTGTAAAAATACTTTACACCTGATGACTATTCTCACTCTCAGTGCTATGTATAAAATGTGTGAAGCAGTACTGGCTCTTGTTACAACAAACATACATCACTATGGGGAACTTTCATGGAATTGTGTGTGTGTGTATATGTATATATATATGTGTATATATATATGTGTATATATATATATATATATATATATATATATATATATGTGTATGTATGTGTGTGTGTGTGTGTGTGTGTGTGTGTGTGTATCAATGCAGAAAAAATGCAGTTCTGATGTAAGTATTAGTATTGCATTATTCTTTATTATGCACAGTGGCGGATTTATAATATTGTATTTTTAGCTATTTTCTTGAAGAGGCATACTAATTTTTTACTGCAGCTGTATATAGGTAGTACAAAATTTGTGAGTGATGAAATTCCTGATTGAAATGTGCCAAGCACAACTTTTTTTGTTCAGTAAAGCTTGAGATGGCATGAAACAACTGTTAATTTTCTGATACTGATACCAGTATTGAACCTTGAGCACTGATCGATGCCAGTCCAATATTTTATTCTTTTAACCCTTGTGTGGTGTTCATGTTTTTGTTACTCAGTGGGTCTTTGGGACGCACCACATTTGTAGCTTGTCAGCAGCCTGTCCATGTTGTCCACCCTCACACACACACATGCACACATATACAAACATATACACACACAGACAGGAGGAGAACCGAGTGAAGGGGCACAGCACCTCCACACTTTTATTCCCCGCAGGTTCACCGAACACCACATGTGTAGTATAAATGTGTGAGGGGTGTACAGTGTGAAGTCACTGAAAATGTGATATATTATATGTTCTTCATAGAAAATGAGCAAACACCAAGGAATCTGAGGTTAAAATAATAATACATTGCATCATTTTATTCTTTTGGTAAACACTGAAAATGGGTCCCACAGATCTGAACACCACACAAGGGCTAAAGGTACTTAGTTTAAAATGATCTATTTTTAATTGAAGCCCTTCACTAAAGATGACGATAAACTAATCAAACACTTCCCGCAGAAAGAAATACACAGCTAAAAACTAGGCCAATAGCCAAGTTAGCCAAGAGGTGAGGCAGTAACCAGAAGGTTGCAGGTTCAAATCCCAGGACTGACCAGATTGCCTGTTTGTGGTCTTGGACAAGGCACTTATGACCCAGGCAGTGCTGCTCTGCTTTGATGCTTCCAGACTGGGTGCAGTTAGGCAGCGAAATTACCTGTTTACCGTGTAGGATCAATAAAGTATGATATGACATGACACAGTGTGAGTATTATTAGTATATTATTATATGTTGTTTCAGGCTAGATTTGTTACGTTCCCATATCTGATCCAGTATATCCAGCACTGATACAGATTGATGCAGATATGCCATCTCTAGATAAAGCAAGACCTCTGCAACAGCTATTCTTGGAAGAAACTATTATGTTGGAGGAAAGTTATTACGTAAAGCATTGTATCATTTTGTGGGGAACAAACTGCAAAATTTGTACACTTTTTCATTTTATCAATGGTAAATTGTGCACACAGTTGTTGGAACCCTATCTTGTGTTGTGTAGTTGTCTACAGTACGCTGCACTGTGTCATTCTGATGGGCAAAACAGTGCCAGTTGCTGATGTATGCAGGAGATGCAGGAGGTCTGTAGTTGTCATAAGTGTCCTTTTTCGCTGTAGTCTGGTAGTGATTGTTGCTGCGTGTGTTGCAGGTATGAGCGCGAGCAGGCTCTGGTGAGGGAGGAGTTGGCGCGGCTCGCCCGCAGAGAGAGAGAGGCAGGGGGAGATGATGTGAACCCTGCTGTGCTCAGAGAGAGAGCCAGGACCACAGAGGAGCTGGAGAAAGCACAGAACCTGGTGAGACACAAACACACACAAACAGTCCACTAATTTCCCTTGAAGTAAACTAAATAGATGTAAAAACAATCTCCAACCATCTGTCCTTCTCTTGAGTCTTTTTGCCTCCCCCTTCACTTAAAATTGATTCACTCCATGTCATTCTTCTCTGCCTGGCGCTAAGTGAGCGTAATGATTATTGAGTGTAGGACGCTTCTTCTTCTCCTGTGCTTGTCTGTAATGGTGCAGGTTTGTAATGAGGCTATTCACCGTGGCTGATTATATTAGCTTTCTCATCCACAGACAGAGACGTCAATACTAGTTAATGGTCACATTCGTACCAGAGCTAGTTTTATTATCTACCGGTGAGACTTTGCCTTCCATTACAGGTTGTAATAGAGAAACTTTGTGATGCATAAATTGGGTGTTTACGCGCTCGCTGCCTGATCAGATCACTACTGGTGCTTTGGCTGCGGCAGAAAGGCTTGGGTGTGTCTGAGTCATTTTTAATGCCGCTAGATGGCAGCAAAAGCATTTGATTTTCAGTCTTTTCAAGTGTTGGAATGTAAGGAGGGGCCCGTAACAGCAAAACTGGACGAATACGATTATATTCCATCCTCTGACTCTCATCTCCGTCCTTTCTTTTTTTTCTGCCAGTCACAGATGCTCTACCTTTCGCATTCCTTTCTGGAATCTATCCATTTTTCTCTCAGGCTTCTGCTTCTCTCTGGTAGATATTGGTCTTTGTATTCATCCATCATATGAAGTTAACCCAGCAGCTCTTGCTTTTAAACATATCCAGCCAGTGAATTTTTAAGCTTTTCTTGTCAGTAGCTGCTCCGTTTAGTAAGAATAAGATGACTCAGTGACACATGCACACATAAAAACCCAAACAGCAAGAAAGAAAAAAATGATTAACTTCAGAAACAGGAGGCAGAAGGAATAAGTGTTTGTGATACAGAGAGAGAGAGAGAGAGAGAGAGAGAGGGAATGGTGTTGATGAGATTTAAATGCATGCAGAGAGAAGGTTTTTGCCATGCTCGACGTAGCGTCGCTTGTTAGCTGTGAGCCGGAGAGAGAGAGAGACAGAGAGAGAGAGAGAGCGATTGCTTGAGGCGAGAGACAGAGAATGGAGAACGTGCTGCCTGTCAACTGGAGGAATTCCACAGAGAGAGAGAGAGATAGTGAGAGAGAGAGAGAGAGAGAGAGAGAGAGAGAGAAAGAGTGAATAAGCGAAAGTAGAGAAATGATTCCTGAAGGTTTTCATCTTAGAGAAATTTCACGATTGTATTTAAATTCTGTTAAAATGTATTGTGTGAAAGTTAAAGTTGTCAAATGTAGTCAGACTGGCAGGTTCACTTTACCTCGTTTCTCTCTCTCTCTCTCTCTCTCTCTCTCTCTCTCTCTTTCTCTCTCTTTTTTTGCTCTCTGTTTTTCTTTCTTCCTCTTTCTCATTTTCTCTCTACATCTGTCTTTCTGCCTTCTGCCTCGCACTCTCTCTGTCTGACTCTATTTTCCACCCATGTCTCTGTCTCTTTCTCTCTTTATCTTGCTTTCTCTCTTTTTGCTCTATGTATCTTACTCTATTTCTATCTCTCTCTCTTGCTCCCTCTCTCACTCTCTCTCTCTCTCTCTCTCTCTCTCTCTCCCCCTTCCTTGCTCCCTCTCTCTGTCTCTCTCATGCTCCCTCACTCACTGTCTCTCTCTTGTCCCCTCTCTCTCTCTCTTGCTCCCTCTCTCACTGTCTCTCTCTCTCTCACTCTCTTTCTCTTTCTCTCTCTCTCATGCTCCCTCTCTCACTGTCTGTCTCTCTCTCTCTCTCTCTCCCTCTCTCTCTCTTGCTCCCTCTCTCACTGTCTCTCTCCTGCTCCCTCTTTCACTGTCTCACTCTCCCTCTCTTTTCCTCCATCTCTCACTGTCTCACTCTCTGTGTATCTCTACCCTCTCTCTCTCATCTTTTTTTTCTCTCTCTCTCTCTCACTTCTTGTCTTGCCGACTTTTTGAACAGTGGTTTGAATAGTCACTTTATGTTCTCTCTCTCACTCTGTCTCTCTCTGTCTCTCTCTTTCTCTGTCTGACTCTCCTGCTCTGCCTCTCATCTCTCAGTCTCTCTGTCTTTCTTCTTTGCTCTCTGTCTCACATGCTCACTCTCGTTCTCTGTCTTCTCTTCTTCTCTGTCTTGCTCTCTCTTGCTTCTTTCTTTCTCTCTTGCTTTCTTTTTCTGCCTTACTCTCACTGTCTCTCCCTCCCTAGCGCTCTCTCTTCTCTCTCTGTCTCTCTTTGTATCTCTCCCTCTCTTTCTCGTCTTTGTTTCTCTACTTGTTTCTCTCTCTCCTCTCTCTCTCTCTCTCTCTCTCTCATCTCTGTTTCTCTTTCTCTCACTTTTTGTCTTGCCAACTTTTTGAACAGTGATTTGAATAGCTGCTTTTTTATGTTCTCTCTCTCTCTCAATTCCTCTCTGCTCTCTGACTCTCTTGTTCACTCTCGTTTTCTCTGTCTTCTCTCTCTCTGTCTGTCTTGCTCTCTCTCTCTCACACAGTTTTTTGTAGAGTAGTCTTTTTGGAGAGGTAGTGAATTGAATAGCCTCTTAAAGATTCTCCCTCCGTCTCTCTCTCTCTATCTCTCTCTCTCTGTTCAGCACTCTGGTGAGCGTCCTCTGAATTTCTCAAATGGTTTGATTGTCAGAAGCGTTTCTAAAATCGTGTTGATAAGTCCAGATAAATGGTCCTGTTCTCTGTGATAATGCCTGCATGAGCATGTTGAAAGATACATACATGCTATCATACACACATTGCACAACTGGAACTGCTGAGTTCAGAGCTTGAGCAGAGCAGATATGTAGTAATATAATACATTACATATAATACATGCAGCTAATATCTCTTTACTACATGGTAAAACGTCTTTAGCACAGGAGTAATGCCTATCTGCCATCTGTAATCTCAAATACTGGTAGCTTTAATGTAATACTGTTAATCCTTTCACCAGAATCTCCTCTCTTTCACACTCTCTCTCTCTCTCTCTCTCTCTCTCTCTCTCTCTGTGAGTTTTCCACTGGTGACGGTAAGACTTGCTCTGGCTACGCCTGGAGAAAAATCTCTTTTGTGCAGATTACATTATGTTCTCCTTTTTATTAGAGCAGGGAGAGCTGTGATCTACTCCTTTAATCATGAAGGGATATTTCAGTCGCTCCGTTTAACCCTTTTATTCTGTCAGTGCTAAATCTTACACAGCCTAGCAGCCATATTAGCACAACAGCGCCATGAATCAGCGCCTAACCCAACCTAACATGCTCTTCTCTCTCTCTCTCATTCTCCTTCTGTCTCTGTCTGTGTCTCTCTCTCTCCCACCCTGTTTCTTCGTTCTCTCATTATATCTTCTCTCAATATCTCCTTCCCGATCCGTTTGACGCTCTCTCTTTTCCTCTCCCTCGTTGTCTTCTTACACTTTAATATCCCTCTTTTTCTCTGTCTCATTTTCTCTCATCCTCCGACACCCCCTACTCCCCAACCCCCCCCCACTCGCTTTTTTGCAGCAGCCAGCTGAGCTGAACGCTTGGGTAAGCAGAAGCTGCTCCCTGTTAATCTTACTTTTCTCTCTCTTTATTCAAATGGCATGTTTTCATTGTGCATTATAACAGAATGGAAGTGCGAGCGCGCACACACACACACACACACACACACACACACACACATAGGCACACTTGCGCGCACGCACACGCACGCAAACAGATGACACCTCCATCACAACACTTGGAGCTATTCAGCTAGAAAATTGCACATCATCTGCATAGCAGAGTGAATGGAACCTTTCTGCCAGCAAACACTAACTGAATGAAGAAAAATGGGCAATATGATTACACTCTATGTAATTACGTGTGTGTGTGTGTGTGTGTGTGTGTGCAGCCTCTGAAAGCCAGGCCATTGTGTGGCGTTTCATTTATGTGTCACACAGGCATTAGATGACAGTCCTACAGGTGTCATTCCAGTGGACGAGGCTACACGCGTACTCATATACATGCATTTCTAGCACAGTAATAATGGGTCAGTAACATGAAAACGGATCATAGATTTGAAACAAAGTACAATGTGGGCGTAAGGGCTGTAATTCAGTCCTGTCATTTTTGACCCCCTGTTGTAATCCTCCTGACTTTGGAAAGTAGAATTTCATCTGTCAATAGCAAACATGTTATTACATTACATAACATTTTACCTGGGCCTTGAATTCTGCTACATCTATTGAGTTAACAGTAGGGGTGGGGCATATGACAGTGTTTATCGTATCATGCCAAGTTATGCCACAATCTACTTTTCTGAGCATCATTAACATCCTCAGTACTTAAAGGGGAACAGTCAGGTTTGTCTATTATTTTGTCAGAAAGTGCTGTGTCACAGACACTTCAGAGGAAAAAAGCAAGCAGCCTGGTTTTCTGTCTCACTCGAGTGTCCATAGAAATACTGAAGTTAGTTAAGTAGTAAAATAATAAAGTTCCAGTCTGGTTTTGATGCTGGCTTCAAGTCTAACGTTAAAATGCTTCTTGAAACCTTCAGGTTTGAAATGTTCTGAACACCTGCCATTGTTTCTTTGAATAAAAAAGATGTGTTTCGTAGCAGTTCTGGGAGGTGCGACCTTTTAACTATTACCTCTTTTACAGTCTTTGGCCCAATCCCATTTCACCCCTCGCCCCTACCACTTAGCCCTGCCCCTCCAATTTGCGCATTCGTGTCTAAAGGTAGGGTATCTCGATTGTTATTGTGATGGAGGGGTATGGTGAAGTGTTAGGGCTACATGGCCCTCCAAACGGAGGTTTTTCAGAGGAACACTCCAAATGGAGTGAAATGAGAAAAAAGGAAAAACCGACAAGTTGGCTGCGCAGGTTACCAAAGAAAACCACAAATGTGAGTATTTTCTCTGTTAAAAACTTACCACCAAGAACCACTGTATTATCTTAGTTTAATGTCATTTCAATGTATTAGGGTCCTTTTCTTTATAACAAGCATCAAAAATCACTAGTGGACTGCTGATAGTAGCTATCTAGCTAAATGTCCTGTTCCACCTTAAATGGTGCAGCAGTTACACTCTGGCGCCTCAGGTGTCAGAACTGCTGTATCATTTAAGGTGGATGAGAAGCTGGCTTCAGCTTCATATCACTGAAGAATTAGGGATGGGCAGTAATGAATAATTGTCACAACCCCCCTCTTTGAAAGCATATGATGCCCTAAATTTAACTAAAGCCCAGCCGTGAGGTTGCTGAATTTTACCTCTGCTATCACTGCAGACTGACAGGGTCGCCTATAGAGCACCGCTAGTAGCCTGTTAATGAAGTAATGTTCTTCTTTATTTGAGGGTCCCATTTTGTAGGAGAAGATTTCAACCACTGCCTCTTCTAACTCAGTTCCAAGGGGCAAGGTGACACTCAAAAACAAGGGGTAAGGGTAAAAATAAGAAATGGGATTGGGCCTTTGAGCGGTATGCAATAAATATTGGCTTCTCTTTCTTCACAAGTTGGCATAGTGACTTACTCAATATTCCAGGCCTCTAATAAAACGTTTAGAATAAAAAACATTACATTCTGCTTTTTCTAAGTAAGACAACGTGACTGGTCCCTTTTAAATACTGACAAACTGTGCATTTCATCACAAAGAGAGCAGGAAGTAGCCCTGTTTAATTGGATTTAGTGCAGGGCAGGATGTAAAACACTGAATACAAATCACTGTACTCATAGTTTTTGGTAGTATTTTAGATGTGGCACTGCTGCAGTTCTTTCCTGTCCCAACTTATCAAACCTCAGTAAAACGAGATATTGTCATATGTATTGTGTAACGGGAAACATCACCCACCCTTAGTTAACTGCATTGTCTCTCATTTATTGGTTGCTTTATGCTCTCTTTCTCAATGTCTTTGTCTCTTTCTCTTTCTGTGTCTCTCAGTAGAATTGGCTGTCTTGCGTCTGTGCTCTGCTTGCTTTACCCCATTTTAATCATTTCGTTTCTGTTCTCCTCCTGCTTGCTGCAAAGATCTTTATGTGCTGGATGGCTTTTTAAGGTAGCTTCAGTCTCTCAGGTACACCTTGCTTCATACTTCGACTTCATACCATGTGACTGGTGGATGTTGCCATGCAAACAGACAGCTTGTGTAGTTTTCTTTCTGCTTTTGGGCTGAATCCAAGACCTGTTTGGAAGAGCCACACCAGAACATGACCCACCTCAAGAGCACATGAACTGGTTTCAGATCAGCCAGTTCCTCTGGGACTGTTACACAGCTGTCAACATACTACATGAGAAAATCCATCAGTTCATCAGCTGTAAGGTTCCAAACATGGCCCTGAAGCCTCTTTCACACTACATTAGTTTTGCCAGTTGTCCAGATATTGGTGGGGGAGTTGTATTAATTTATATTCGGTGAGAATGACATTCCAGAACATTGCAGAACAAGTCATGTAGAGTGAAAAGTGTTTGCAGAAATTTGAGGTAGTAATGTGGAATGGGGTATAAGATCACACTGAATTTCTGATAAAAGCACACCTGGAATACAACTCAGTTTAATGAGAAATGTCAGAGAGTGAGATTACATAGCTGTAAGTGTCTCTATCTGTGTCTCATTGGTTCTCTCTCTTTGTTCTGTGTCTCCAAGGCAAAGCAACTGGCGAGGAAAGATGCTGAGTTGAAGCATCTGGCTGCTTTCTATAAAGAACAACTGCAGCTGATGGAGAAGAAGGTAACACACACACACATATATGCAGATGGTTAAGAAGGCAAAACCAGTTGTGAATTTACTCAAAAGTGAAGAGCTCAAATGGTGACGGGCATAATGAAGGGCTACCACAATATAAAAAGGGACCACTATGGTTGATGCCATGGCTAATTTTCATCATTTTTTTTGAGTGCCTTATCACTGCAATATGCAAATTCATCACATATGAACCTTTGAATGTTTCTTTATTTCTTTGATATAAAAAATAGGCCAAATCACAAATACAGAAAAAAACACAGACAGCACAAACATAATTACTTTTAAATGTCTATTTTTTAAGAACATTTAAAGGAAATTATGCCAGTGCTGTAGCATGTTTCCATATTTGTCAAGGGCTAAAATAAAATCAGTATTTTTGCATTCAGAATGCTGTTTAACTTTTCTTTACTTTCCTTTGGGAGTACCCATCTGGATTTTTGAGATGAAAATGCCTTAACTGTCCAATAGCAATGCTCCTCCTGGAGAAAAGTCCCACATGTCATTCTGAAAGCCCTTTTAGGCTGATCTGACCAGTTTGTTGTTCGTTTGGCTGTGTTTGCGCGCAAGTGGTCCTGAAAGCTCAGTTGTGGTGTAATCCAATTTGCTCCACTTTGTGGTGCTGTGCTTATCAACCTTGTTTTGTGGTGCAGGGTCATCAAACAAATGCAACCAGGGACTAAGATAGAAAGCGATGACTTCTGTTGTGCTTTCAAGAAATTAGGGCTGCATATAGTTTAATGAGTCAGGGAAGATTTCCGTGTCTGAAAGCCACCACGGTGACGTTTGTACGAAAGTGCTCTCCCAGCAGCTCTCTCTGAGTAAAAGCCCTGACCTCGAGCTGGAGATGGGCTTTGTCAACACCCACGTCCTTCAGAGCACTCCGAGTCTAAATAGAGAGAAAGACGCAGGCCAGAAGGGAGAGGTGGAGAGATTGGGGGGGGCATGAGTGATCGAATGGATAGAAGCGAAATTGAAGCACACGTAAATAATGAGGTATAAATAGACATGCCCTGTTGAAATATCCGCATATTTACAAAAATAGTTTTAAAACATCCCAATTTCTGATGTTGCCGTGAACAAAATAATAAAGGTTTAACAGTTGTTTATTGTGTGCACTAGCTTGATTTGATCTGTACTTGATTGTTCAGTCAATTTAGAAAATGTTTTATATCGTTACAATTTAAAAAACAAGAACCCAGTTTTAACATTGTTTCTTATTGCAGATAGTATAAGAGCTGTACCTGATCATTTGGTTGATTTGGTGATTTGTGTGTTTTAGGTGGATGTGATTTAGCACAATATCAGTACAGAACAATGACTTACACAGCTTGTCTTTTTGTTTGAAATTTCCATAACTATCACCATTTCACTCAGTGAGAGATGCTTTATCAATTTCTTTTAACTCCTGACATTCTCTTCAGTTCTACATTGCACTCACAGTTACAAAATATTACAAGTTAATGCAATATTTATTTCATTTTTTCATTACAACCAATGCATGCCTCATTTTAAAACCCAGTTAAGTGAACAGATACTTCAGTTTGGATATCTGTATATTCAAACAGTCATTCCCAGCCATGGAAATGTTGGCCGATTTATAAAGATAACTACGTTACAATAGAAAGACAGAAGCAAAAACGCCTTAGACATTTTACTGATAGGGCAAAGGACTGAGAGAACAGGCGTAGAGCATTGAGCTGATGGTTTGGTGACCTCATGATATATGGTATGTTATTCCTATCATGATAATTTTACATCAGGATACACTTTTCCGATTATACTATGGGTATCTTCAGTACTTCTAGAGCACTGAACAAGTGAATGTATCACAAATAGACAGATATAGACCCATTATAGAAAGCATATAAACAGTTACAACTAGGGATGCATCAGTACTGATACTGGTATCGGGTATTGGCTTGATACCATGCTCATTTACTCGTACTCATAATGCATAATAGTAACACCCGATACAACCTAATACCATGTGACGTAGGTCGAGTGTACACTACAGTGTTAATAAACAAACAGCTAAATCTGGCATTGAATGTGGTTCTGCTTGCACAGTGAAATGTAGTTGACAGCGTCAACAGTATATTCCCATCTAGAAAACACTGAGTGATTTTAGCCTGTTTTAAACACACCATCACAATCACAAACATTTTCCTCAAAATACTGATGCAACCACGTAGGTTAACAAAACTGAGGCAAAAAGTCAACAGTCCGTATATACCGACTTTATTCTGTTTGACTGAAGAGTTTCAAGGTATAAATAACAACAATAATTAATATGGAGATTTTTAAACTGTCTTTGTAAAATATGCTGTAGAGATTTGTCCTACTGTGTGCATTTCAGTGTGGTTAACCGAGCTGCTGTAGCTCAGTTTCTCAGCGTGTTTGCTTGTACCTGGGTACGCAGTGTTGTTTTGAATGAAACAGCTTTATTGGAAATTGTCCATAGACAAATTTATCTGTAGGGGCTGCCTTTCACATAGCCAGTCACTTGTGTTGTGCAGGTCAGACCAAGTGTTTTTATACAGTGTAAGTGTATAAATGGTAGGCTTTGTCCGTACATGGCAGTCTATTCAACTGTACTGTGTACCGTGTGAGTCACCAAAGAACAGTGTATGCCTGACTTTAGAGGACATTCAACTTCAGCTCAACTGGCTAATCAACATTCAGCTACAGCTCAACTAGCCAAAAAGACTTCAGCAAGACATAAAACTCCACAAGTGAGCACCTTGGATGTGACTCCTGCAGTTACTGAGTTACAGAGTTTGGTATCGATGCATCACTATTTACCACCGTTGTATGGTAAGAGAATAACATGCATAGTAAGAGGCAGCTGATTGGATATCAGTCCCTTTGTGTCATTACCTTTTTACCAGTGTATATTTTTTACCTATTGTTTGATTTTTCTCCTGCTCATTCTTAAAGGGGAGTTTTTCAAAATCTCTGTATAATTAACTTTTTAAAATAAACAGTCATTCAGAGTTGTCTGATGTAAAATGCTCCATTCTAGAGAAATTTACTTAGTGATAGGAACCAGATGAAGAGCTTAGTGCCTCTGAAAGCTACTTCACAGAAAGTTAGAATGACATGAAATGGTTACAGAAATGTTGCCTGATGCCTGAGACACTGTTTACAATGAGCTTTGTGGTTTTTTTTGGCATTTTTCCCCAATTTTCTCCCCAGTTTTCAGTCATTTCCAATTCTAAACACTAGCTAGGTCTCTCGCAAACACACAATGCTACCATCTGGAGGTGAAGGCTAGCACTTCAAGCTTCATCCAAGCCATGTAAAGCCAGCCACCGCTGTTGTTCAAACTGCTGCTAATGCAACGCCATTGAATGGCTCAACACATTTAGGGGAGAGCGTTAACTGCCAGTTCTGTGACGTTAGTGTTTTATATTGCATTCTTGGTGGAGATGCACATGCAATATTCTCCAAAAGAAATATTTTTTCAGATTTACCACTATTTTATTATTGTCAACATTACATATAAAAACCCATAAGTTATGTAGATTCACTGGTTGTTTTGGACAGTAAATAAAATGGCTATATTTGCATTGTAAATATTGTGACCCCTGGTTCCTATCACCATCATTGTATAGAGATTGAGTCGGTTTCCTACAGTAAAGCGTTTACATCAAACTACTCTGAATAACATTCTCAGTGGTTGAATTCTGTAGAAACTGTGAAAAATTATTATACTTCTGATATACTTCACAGCTTTTTTAAATGTAGCACTGCTGTGTTGCTGGTGTATTTTGTCTGTCCCAGCTTAAAAAAACCCTAGATATCATGGTACATATTGTGCGTAATAATTCCCACATATTTTGCCCGCGCTTACCTTGTGCTCATGGGCCGTTCCTCTGTGGTGTATCAGGAAATGAAGTGAGGCAGGGTCCCTCTCTCTCTCCTGCCAGTAGCCAGTCTGCTTTTGAACATGCTGAAGCTGAGTGCTTAGTCTTCCTCTCCAAACACGTTGATGCACTAAGCAGTCCTGTGTGGACAATTGTTCAAACAGATGCAGTGACAGGCTGCATATCCGTGTGAGGAGGAGTGTGTGGCCTTCACCATCACTCACACACACACTGGGCTGCTGTGCCGAGATGGAGAAAAAGCAACAGGAAATGGCTGTGACTGATTTGAGGGTAAAATAAAAATATACTAAAAGGGTTTGCTACGGAATTGGATGTGTAGCCTGAGGGGGGCTTTTTATGCCTGTGGGTTGAACCTAATAATAAACAGTCAAATAAAAGGTGCTGTATGTTGTTAAATTATTCACTGCTAATTATTTGTACATTGTACATTGGTATTTGAACATTAAGCTATTTTTTGGCTGCTTCTGGGCAGACTTCTCTGCTTTGCCAAAAGCTTTGCAACATCAAGAACAGTATGACGGCTCATTTTTTTCCCCTCTCTTTGAAGCCACGCATGTCATGTGTTTCATTCCTTTTCATGGAGTAAGATTTTATTTCAGACAGTGTTAGCCTTTCTTCCCTTCACCTCATTCCTCTGAGAAAGAGAGAGAGAGCGAGAGAGAGAGAGCTTGTCGTGAAGTGTGTTTTGCAGTACTGGAGTGAAATGGAGCAGAGATATTGGCTACTGAGAGCCACCAGGCTGCCGCTCTATTTGCACAGTGAATTAACTCAGACTCAGGCAGCTGAATTGTTTTGGTTTTATTTCTTTTTTCCCCCCTCTTGTTCATTCTTCCGCACCTTCATAACCGCTGCTCCTGCGCTCCCTTATCACCCTGCAGCATTCCGGGGTATTTAACGTGTGAGTAAACCGTTTAAACGCTACAGTTAGCGCTACTCAAAGAGGGAGAGAGAGAGAGAGATCAAAAAAGAAAAGAGAAATGGGACAGAGAGTCAAGAGAGACAATAGAATTTCCTCTCAAAAAACAATAGAGCTTCCTTTCTCTCGAGTGTTTTGTGTGGTAAACTGTACAAAGTTTATCAGTGCATGTACATGATATG